CCCAGCTATTTTGGTCCTTGCTCGCTGCACTCTGAGATTTTTCTCACTTTTTTCTGGGTTTACACCTCTTTCAGCACTTAAAGGGTGACAGACATCTTAGAGTTGGTTAACTGAGCTATAAAGGTCAGACTTATGACATGGCTGGTGATTGGTTAATGGGTCCAGGTGTAAAAAGACGGAAGGTAGGTCATTGTGTTTAAAACTGAATGGGGCGGTTTTTTTCCTTTCATGGATTTTATCTTTTTTTCAGACGGGCCAGTGGAGCCTATTGCCTCATCAAGTGAGGAAGTCAAACCACAATAGACTGAATTTCAGCAAATGTTTTTCTCAGCCTCTAACAGATACCAAGAATTTGGTATCTTGATGTTTTTGTGTGTATTACTCAGGAAGCCTTCCCAAGATGAAATCCCTTCCTTGGTACCCAGGCAATGCCTCCTGGACCAGCTGTCTGTTTGTTGGTTCGTTCATTCATCCAGTGATGATTTGTTGTGCCAGGCACTGTTCTAAGTGCTACAACAGATACAAAAATAAACACGAGAGTCTCTGCTCCTCAGGAACTCAATCTAGTGGGAAACACATATCAACCTACAGGTAGGATGCACTGTGGTAACTGGTCTAGAGTGGCAGAGAAGCAAAGCCCTGCAGGAGTAAGGAGGGGGCCCACTAGTTCTGCAGGGAGAGTTAAGGAAGATTTACCAAAGGAGGTAACATTTCAGCTAGACCTTAAGGATGAGTTTGCTAACACGCATAAAGAGAATGGACTTTGTAGGCAGCAGGAACAGCCTGCGAGTATGTGCGGGCAGGGGATGTTTTGGAATTGGTATGGCTGGAGTATAGAAGACTTGCACCAACACCAGGGGCTTCTGTCCAGAGAAGTCAAGAGGGACTGCCTGGGTCACACAGTGGCAGAGACTGGGTTAGGCAGCAGAAGTTGGAACTGTGTGGTCCCTAGCCTCTTAGTCTTGCACACACGCACACACACGCAGGTCTAATCTCAATGCCCTGTTCCCTGGTTTGGAGCTGTCCTTTGACCAGCTCCTCTCCCTCCCATTTCCCTTCTTAGGGGTCTGCCCCTGAGCTCTGAGGATTGATTCCAGTGAGCCTGGGAGGGAAGCAGAAGCAGAGCTTGGAGAAGGCTGATCCATTCTAGTGTTTGGTCCTGACCCAGACATTTGCCTAGGACCTGAATCCTTAGATCCTAGCTCCTCATGCTGCTGAGCTACACTCTGTGACCGTCACAGCACATCCTGTTCGGCCCTGCATGGCTCCTTGCTTGTGTATCCCAGAAAAGAAGCTGGGTAAACCAGGTTACCCTTTACCAAGGAGGAGCTACTTTCAATTCCTCCCAGCGTTCAAAGGCTGGAGTAGGTTTATGCCCAGAGTTCCCTGTTCTTTATCTCTTACCATAAACAGTAATGAGGGCGGGAGGGGAGAAGGTTCTTAATTCCTGTGCTAGGTCAGAGGAACTCCTCAGTTGGCTCAAAAAACTCCTCAGTTGGCTGCCTGGTTTGTCAGTGGTATCTGTCCAAAGATCCCCAGACATTTCCCAAATGCCATAATTCATCTTAGTTGGATTTCTAGAGAGTAGACTCCACAGATAAGGAGGAATTCGATTTATTTTAGATTTGTACCACACCTCTTTCTGGGAGGGTTTGAGATAGCTTACAGATTGAAACAAGGTTTGTAAGTAAGACTTTTAAGGATGAAACAAAGCTTGGTGGTGGGAAAGATGAAAAGAATAAGTTACTTTCAAGTCTCACTGTGCTCCATATTTAAGCCATACATTTGGCTGACAGATTCTTGGGGAAAAGGCCAAGAGGGAAAACCCCTGGGCCACCCTGTGTCCACTTTCTGAATCCAGAAAGCATACAGAATCTCCTGCAAGGAAAACATTTTCCTCAAGCTAAAGCTTGACAGAAAGAGATTGTGTTTGGGCCTAAGAAAGTTGAGTGAGGATGAAGAATACACAATTCAAGCCAGCTGTCAGTTCTCCGCTGGGCGGTGCTCTGGGTGCTGTGGGAGAGACGGTCATGGCCACTGGCCACCTAGCGGCAAGCATCCATACTGCCCTCCACAGGACCCATCAGGACTGGCTCTTGGTTCAGGGAGAATGTAGGAGGGTGGGACGACTAGATCTCAGAAGGCAAAGGAGTCAGAGACCAAGTTTTCCACCTTGAGTTTGCAAAAGATAATGGAGACACCACCCCAAGCAATAGCAAACAGCTTTGAGGGATGATGTGTTGAGTGCATTTGTCCATTTTATCTCAACGGTAATCCTGCGGAGGAGGAATTATGGTTTACATTTTACAAACAAGGAAACTGAAGTACTGTTTGCCTGGCGTCACGCGGCCAGTGAGCAGTGAAGTCAGGATTCGATCTCAGAACTGGGTGCCTCTTTCCCACTATATGCCCTGTTTATTCAACCCAATAATTCTTCATTGAAGTTTCCACTAAAAAAGGGAACCTAACGTGCCATTCTGGCTGAGAGGATGTGGTGCAGGGTGTAATGTTTTGATGGCATGATTTAACCCAGGAGGAGCAGCTGGAGCACCAGGATGAACAGTGGGTAACTTAGCTGCCCTGTCGTGTCCATTTCTAGATGATTTGCTTGAGCTTTTTGGCTGATCCTGGGCCACAGTCAAGTCACAAGTGATTCTCTGTAATTTGCCCACTTTGTGAACAGATAATGACATGTCATCTCCCTCCACGTCCCTACTTTCCAGCCCTCTCATCACCACACTCCCCGCCCCCACTTCTTGTCATTTGAAACCCTTCTCAGAATGCACCGTGTTCTCCTCCCACGATTGCACATGCTGTATCCCTCAACACTGCTCTGACCCCTTCCCGCCTGGGTTCCCCGAGTTCCCCGTCCCCACCCCCATGCAGAAAAGACACCTCTCTTTTGTTCTCACATAGAACTCTGTACACGCCTGACTTTGAGGGCTATATTCATGGTGGATTTACTTGTTGGGCTGTGAGCTCCTTATGCATCTCTGTATCCCCAGAGCCTTGCACAGTGCCTGGCATGTAGTGAGGGCCCAGTTATGTTTGTTGAGCAGACATGATGAGCAGCGCTGTGTGTCAGGCACTTCTGGGCACTGGATATAGAGAGATGAGTAGAACACAGAACCTTCCCTTGAGGCACTTAGAGTCTGATATGTCAAGTAATGATTAGAATCCAATATTATAAGATCTACATTATCTATAACAGCGGCTTGGGGGAGCACAAGAGAGGAAAAAAATGACTTAGTTTGGGGAGTGAGGGAAGTCTTCCGGAGGTGGTATTTTATGAGCGGAACCTTAAAATAATGAAAGATTTTCGCCTAACTAAGGAGTATGGCAGGGCCAGGGGAAAGCGTACAAAAACATGAAAGAGATTCAGTGTTTGGAAAACTGCAAGAAGTCTTGATATCCTGTGCCATAATCTGGAGCGAAAAACACATTCTAGGTATCAATATGAAAGAGGTAAGGTTGTCGTGCTGCTGGAGATGTTAAGACTTTCTTGTTCTGTTTTGTTTTTAATCAGTCAGATGCATTTTATCACGAGGCAGTAAAGATGTTACAGTCACCTTAGATGAAATAAATAATAACTTATTTATAGTTTCTGATTGCTTCCTTCCCAAAACGGTTTGCTTTCACTTGTAACAACAGACACATCCACAATAAGACTGTTCATATAGAAACAAGAAGCAAAAATCACAACGAGAATAACATTGTTTCCTAAGTTCTTTCTCCTTCCTTAAATCACTTGGTGTTCAGGATAATTCTCTGAGGATGGGCCGCAGCTTCCGTCTGGCTCAGAGACCAGCATGTAGGGGTGCTCTTGTAAATGCCAGTGGGTGCAGGAGATCCATGGGTGTTTTCCTCATTTTCCAACTGATGCCACAGATATTTCCTGGTGGTCTGGTTTCTTCAGGCATCCATCCCCTCACAACTGTCAGTGGGTATAAACATCTCTACTTTGCTGTCCTTCAGAATCATTGTGTCTGTTTGAGCTTCTTCATCCAAGTTACTTTCAGATGCTCTTGCTCTTTTAAAGTGTTCCTCCCCTTTTTAAATTACTCCATGCATAAAACTTAGAAAACAGAAATTCTCCCCCATGATCCTATAACAGAGGATGTCCGTGGCTAGTTCTTTTTTTATTTAAAAAAAATTTTTTACATCATTTCAGATTTTCAGAAAAGTTTTCCAGAATAGGACAAAGAATTCCTGAATACCCTTCACCCGGATTCCCCAATTCTTAACATTTTACTACATTTGTTTCCTCTCTCTCTCACTCCCCCCCTTTTCTGAATCTGTTTAAGAAAAAGTTGCAAACATCATGCACCATTATATAAGCCAAAATACTTCAGTGGATATTTTCTAAAAACAAGAAATTCTCTTACATAACCATGCTGTTATTTTTTATATTTTATGTGTGCCCTTCTATGCTTTTTTCTATGCATACATTTATGTATTTAAATTAAATAATGCATTGTTTTGCTTATATGTACTTATGATACCTTGCTCTCTTGGAGGGGTTAGCAATAAAGCCTGTATATAATCTCACGTCAATAAGTATTCTACAATATGATTCTTTAGCAGACTCTGACGTTCAACACAACGGTTTCTGGAGGGCACATCTTCACAGGCCACTCCACTTCGGAGAAGGAAGCATTCTTGCACTCTTGCATGTCTAGTCACATATCAGTGGAAACCACTGCATAAAGGAGTAAAGAGGCCAGGGTACCGGACAGCCTTGGATGCAAAGTTAATCTTTATTCCGCAGCCAGTAGAGAGCCCATGAATGCTTCATAGCGAGGGAGAAAGCCAACGAGAGCTGGGTTTTCTGGAGATTGGTTTACCAGCATGTGCAGGAGGGAATGGACGAGGAAGCAATCAGAGCACCAGTCCATAGGTCCCTTCGGTAAAACGATCCCGGGCTCAAGGGCGACTCTCTGCCCAGGTAGATCAGAGCCTTCTCCAGTCTAATGCGCCCTCCTCTTTCCCATGTCTTTCAGAACTGGCTAAAGTGCTATGGCTATCTGCTTCCCTCTGGCTCTCGGGTGCCCGAGCTGCACTCAGGGAAGGCCTTACAGTCAGCAGTCTCCACTATGCAGCAGTTTTACGGAATCCCTGTCACCGGTGTGTTGGATCAGACAACAATCGAGTAAGATCTGCGTAGGGCATCGTGCCTTGGAACCTTCCAGACTTACATTTGTGTTCATATTTGTCATGGGCCCCGTGTATATACCATGCCCATCCTACCTTCCTGTCTTTCAGTCCTGCAGTATCATCCTGGGAGGGAATACCCCAAGGTGCCCTTTCCTAGGTGAGCTGGGGAGGTGCTCTGCCCTATATTTGTGGTATGACCTTGAACCCTTCCGGACCTCAGTTTCCTTATCAGCACAATGAGGGGTTTGGTGAGAGAGGGTCTTAAATCTCCTCTGACTCTAATAGCTTTTGGCTCTCGGAATCACCCCTCTGGCTTTCCCTGAGATGTACACATCTCGCTTGATACAAACAACTCCTGAAGGATAATGAGTTGGTAACTTGTTCCACTTTTTCCATTTATCAAATATTGCTAAATGCCTACGTGTACCAGGCACTGGACTTGACCCTATGATCCTTGCCCTCCAGAGGCTCACCACGACGTGAAAAGTACAATCATCTGGCTGCACCAGTCTAGAACTCAGAAGGAAATGCTAATTTTCAGGGAGGTACTAAGGGGGTGATAACAAAGAAGCCAGACCATGAGGATGGTCGCATTTCCTAGGGGAGAGTACAAAAAGGAGGAAGAGACGAGTGATAGGAATGGAACCCAGGATGCAGGCTGAAAAGGAGCAGCCAGAGCGGGGCGGAAGCCAGGGGTTCTGTGTCCTGGTACAGAAGGGGAGGATGGTCAGTGGGTCAGCTGCTGCAGAGTCATCAGTTAGGAGACCGAAGAGCATGGGCCGAGTTTAGTAGCCAGGAGACCAGTGCAGGTCTGTGGACCGGTGGAGACAAGTTTAGACCGCGGTGGGGAGGAGGGGAGATGATGAGTAGAGGTGTCAAGTGGAGGCAAAACTTTCTGGAAGCCTAACAGTGAGGGAGGAATAGAGGGTGGCTAGAGGTGGATGTTTGTTTGTTTGTTTGTTTGTTTGTTTGTTTGTTTGAAGAGGGAAGAGAATTAAGCATCCTTACATTTGTTTGAGAAGTAGCCATAAAAGTCATTAAAGCTGCCGCCACGAAGGCCTGGCAGCGAGCTGGGGGAGGGTCCCAGGGAGGCGGTGAGGGCTGGGGGTCCCAAGCCCAGGTGGAAGCAGGGAGCAGGGCCCCAAGGCAGGGTGCAGGGAGGTGATGGGTGGTTGTGGATCCAGGGCGTGAGTCACCCCCTGAGAGAATCATCTCTCTGGGCCTCAGCTAGTTCATTTACAAAGGGGAGTGCTGGATTATGGCTCTCCAATTCTAGATCCCATTATTCTAAGCTGTTAAAATTGGGTTGAGTCTGAGGTTTTATGATCCTCTAATTCTGTACGAACATTTTCTATTCCTCGGATTCTCTGATTGCAAGATTGGGAACTTCTGAGACAATATGTTTGACTGTTGCTATGATGGCAGGACCGTGGATGCCGTGGCCCTGTGGCCTCCAGAGTGAGCTGGTTACAGAGAGCCCGGCGGAATTCAAAGCAGAGGTTATTTTGAGGGCTTTGTGTAGGCCTCGTGGCAGTGCATCCTGGGGCAGGAGCGCTGGTGTCTCTGCTGAGGCACCACCTGGCCTTGGATTTTACTCTGTTCCAGAAAGCCCCAGGCCTGTTGGACATGGTTCAGAGAGTGGCAGGTGGACGGAGAGAGGAGGAGGTGGAGGGAACGAGCTGAGGGAGGAGGATGGCATTTCCCACTTGCAGTTCTACCCCTTCTTTGTAGGAAGGCAGGGAACGTGGTCTTGGAGGCACGACAAGGGGGAAGGCGCTCACACTTAACCCCAGACCTGAGTGGGGTAGCCTGTTTGGGGGGGTAGAATTTAGAGACCTTAGTTTCTGTTCCAGCTCTGTGACCTTGGGCAGTCACTGCCTTTCTCTGGGCCTGTTTCCTCCCCGGGGGCCCCTCCAGGCCTAGCTCAGCCTTGCTGTTGCAGAGGCAGCTCCTGGTTCTTCCCGAGGATGTCAAGCAATGGAAGCCAGAGCAGCCTTTAAAAGTACTACTTTTGGAGTGCCTACCTCGGGAAATGGCGCACATTCCTTCATTCAGCATATCCTTGAGCCCAGACTTGTGCTAAGCCTGAGGAAAGAAAAGCCCCAGCTTCTGTTTGCTTGTTTTGTTTGTTAAGTTGCATTAATTACTAGTTCATTTATTCATTCAACTAAGTCCCCGTCCTGCCTCAACTGCTGTCTTCTGCAAGTTACTTGATTTATCTGTGTATCTTTTCCCTCCTCTGCAAAAATGAGGATAAATCATTTCTCACAGAGACATGTTTTGATCCCTCACAGAGTTGTTTTGAAGAATCAAAAAAAAATGCCTTTAAAAGAACCCCAAACACTGTAAAAATTCGAAACTTTTATACCAATACATGATATTGTTATTATTAATTTTTTTAGTACTGATTTCTGAGTAGAGGCACTCGAGGCAGTAGGAAGGCTGCAAAGATGAGTAAGACCTGATTAAGTCCCTCGAGGGGCTTTTAACAGTCTCTGTCTCCTCTTCTCTGTATGGCCAACAGCAACTGCTCTCAACAGCTGCACAAGAGGTGGACTGTGGCCCCTTCCAGCAAACTCAAGCTGTGGTTTAGTGAGTTGGTCATTAGGCCAGCATGAGGACATAAAATGCAAGGATGGCCTGGGCCCCAATAAACACGATCTTTTAAAATCTCCTACCCTGCTCCTTTTTTTATATCCCCAACGATGTCCCAGGCTTACGGTTCCCTAATGTCACTTAACCTGACAACAAACAGTTATCAGGATTCACTTAGTTCCAGGCACTGGGCTAGCTTCGGGGGACACACTGATGAATACAATGCCATTCCAGTCCTCAAAGAAGTCATCAGTTGTTAGAGGCGATAGACTAATAGATTTAAAATCACAACACAGCGTACTAAGAGCTGCAGAGAATTCTGTTCCAAGTCCCACAGTTGTTTAGCCACTTTCTGAACACCTCCAGTGAAAGGGAATTTGCTGTCTTATGAACTCTGCCATTCTACTGCTTGGCAGTTCTGATTCACCCACTCATTCATGCAGCAAATCATTAGCAAACATCGTCTGTGTTAGGCACTGCCCAGGCAAGGCTCCTATGTTCATGGAACTTAGACTCCGCTAAGAGAGACAAAGAATAAACAAAAAAGCTAATATATGGTATAATTTCAGGCAACGATCAATGCTATAAAGAAAAATTAAGCAGGATAAACAGATAGCCATAAGATGTGAGGGGGGAGCTACTTCAGAGAGGGTGGGCAGGGAAGTCCTCTCTGAAGGAGTAACATTTGAGCAGAGACCTTAAAGAAGGGAACAGACCATGTGAAGAAGAAGAGCGTTGCAAGCAGAGGGAACAAAGACCCTGACATGGAAATCATCTTAGCATGTGCAAGGCCAGCAAGAGGGCCCCTGTGGCTGGGGGCCGAGTGTATGGGGCGGGGAGGGGATGAGGATGTCGTCCCACACGGGAGACAGGGGCTAGATCATGGGAATCTCTGTGGGGCAACATGAGGAATTTGCATTTTATTCTAGGTGTTTGGGGAAATCATTGGAGTGTTTTAAAGCAGGGAGTGAGGTGACCTAATCCCATTGACAGGGTATTTCCACATATACTCCCTCCCTTAAGGCTTACCACAACCTAAGAACAGTGAGAGCTAGAATTCTCGTGTTGCAGAAGGGGAAACTGAGGTTCACAATGATTCGCTTGCCTGGACTCCCACGATTTGGTGGAGCTGGAACCAGGCCTCTGACCCCCCAGGCTCGAATGCAGCCCTGTGTCTTCGTAACAGTTGTAAGTGAATGAATCAAGTAACCGGTGGATCGTGTTCCCGAGGGGGAACCCATCAGAGCCAGGACCCCCGAATCCAGGGTGCGGAGGCACACTGCCATTTAGACCAGGACTGGGAACCCTGCAGTGTCTTCCTAGAGTGTTCAGTGACCACAGTATGTGTGTGTGTGTGTGTGTGTGCTCTCTCTGCCCAGGTGGATGAAGAAGCCCCGCTGCGGGGTCCCCGATCACCCCCACTTAAGCCGCAGGCGGAGGAACAAGCGCTATGCCCTGACTGGCCAGAAGTGGAGGCAAAAACACATCACCTACAGGTGCTTAGACCCCCCCACCCTTCCCTGGCTTCGGCTCCATCCGCGCTCGGGGTTGTTGCCGCCGCCTGAGTTCCAGAGGCCCCTGATGTAGGTGGTGGGTCTGTGATGGGGGTGAGAGCCAGGCATGGGGGCATCAGGACCAGGTGCTGAGAGCCTATGACTTCGTCCCTCTTGTGGCTTCCAGAGGATGCTGTGTCTCCAACTTCAGGTGTGTTTGGTCCTTTGGGGACTCATTAGTTGTGTCCTGTTTAGATTCCTACAGTTTTTAGAAAGTAGGGTATGGATTGTTTGGCAACTTTCCACTGTGATAAAAAAAAAAAAAAACGGGGCTGAACGCACTCTCCCTGTCCTTGCTTGCCAAACCCCACTCCCTTTGATCTGGATCTCTTCACCACTGAGCCCGATAGACTTCACCTGAACTTCCCAGCACAGTTCCAGTTGTCTCCTAAGGGAACTGAATCACAACAGTGTCGCTCCTGAACTAGCTGGGGAAACCAAGGGCAGAGGAGGACCAGTCTCCAAGTCAGGCCAGTGACCAAGGACAGGGATGATGGGGCCCAGCACAGCAGACTCAGACAGCACGATTCAAAGTGGGGCTGAGGCAAAGGCCAGGCATAGAGTAGGCTCAGATGGGCTCCGGTTGGCACCTCTCAAGGCTCTGAACCCAGGGAGATTCCCTGGATTCAGGGGTAGATCTAAGATAGAGATCCTTTTTTTTTAAGACTTTATTTATTTATTTGAGAGAGAAAGAGCATGAGTGGGGGTGGAAGCTCAGAGGGCAAAGCAGGCTCCCTACCAAGCAGGGAGCCCAACAAGGGGCTCGATCCCAGGATCCTGGGATCATGACCTGAGCCCAAAGCAGACCCTTAACCTACTGAGCCACCCCGGTGCCCCTAAGACAGGGATTCTTAAAGCTGAAGAACGAAGGGCTCTTCTGCTGATGAGCTATAGAGACCAGAACTTGATTTTTTCCAGAAATCTGACAAGAGAAGGAAACATAAGAAGAATCTGGGTTAGAAACTGGATAGACTCTTAAGGTCTCCTGAAGAAGTAGAATGAATCAAGAGAAAGAAGAACTGGCTTCTAACCTTAACTTCTATCACTCAACCTCTCTGAGCCTCAGTTTCCTTACCTATAGAATGGGTGAATAATCCTTAACCAGATGTTCATGGGGCAGAGCACCCAGTAGTGATGCTCTGTTATGGAGAACCATTCAATATGGTGATTGTAATCTTAAATCGCTAAGTGTATAACTGACTACATCGGATACCACCCTATACCAACTTCCCAGGTAGAAAGCAGTAGATGGGTAGTTGGTACCAAATATTTGTAAAAGGGATGTTTCACTTAAACTCTCCACTGTTTAAATATTTCTATAACTTTTATAAATGTTTTATAAACACATTTTATGTATTGGGAGAAAACTTAAAATTTAGAAAATGCTATCCCCCCACTTAATTTTTTTCTGCACATTGGAATGGAATTCTGTATTCAAAACAATTTTGTGAGAGATCAAATATAAAACCTCCGATTGAAGCAAAGCTCCTGGGACTGAGGCAGGGGTGGGGACCCAGAGCCTTGCCCACCTGGCCTCTTCTTCAACCCCAGGGGTACCTCAGCAGAATCCTAGGGTTCAAAATTTGAAGATGACTGGTCTGTATGGTCTCTGGTGTCCCTTTTAGCTCTGCAAGACTTTGACTCTGATCGTTCCTCCCTAATGACTCTCCCCTCTCTCACCAGCATTCACAACTACACCCCGAAGGTGGGTGAGCTAGACACACGGAAAGCGATTCGCCAGGCTTTCGATGTCTGGCAGAAGGTGACCCCGCTGACCTTTGAAGAGGTGCCATACCATGAGATCAAAAGTGACCGGAAGGAGGCAGACATCATGATCTTCTTTGCTTCTGGTTTCCATGGCGACAGCTCCCCATTTGATGGAGAAGGAGGATTCCTGGCCCATGCCTACTTTCCTGGCCCAGGGATTGGAGGAGACACTCACTTTGACTCAGATGAGCCGTGGACACTAGGAAACGCCAACCATGATGGTAAGGCCATGAGGGGAACAGGGGGTCAGTCCTGGATTGCTCAGTTGTAAGGAAAAGAAGCCCTGAGGAAGAGCTTGGGATGCCATAGATGAGTTTCCTGCTCTGGAGCTTCAGAACCCAAGAGGGTGGAAACTGAGGTCTCTGATAATGCTCAACACTGATCCACCCATGGAGTAGGGTCAGATCACTTAGTAAATGGTCTAATGGGGGTGAGTCCAGAGGGAAGGGTTAGGCCGTGAATAAGAATATGAAGTAATGGATCAGAGGCTGGAGAAAAAGGTAAAAAAAGTCATTCAAGCGGAATGTGGGGTCTGAAGGTGGTAGGCTCTGGCCTGACTGGTAAGGGCTTCAAAGACCATCGTACAAGACAACATGATTCTCTCTCCTTTATGTCAACTTCACGGGCAGATAACGGGCCCCATAATCACTCTAGTATCCATGGATAACTTGCTCTTCAGCACTGTAGCTCAGTGAATGTTTTATGGAACCAGAGTCATATTGTACAGTACTAGTAACAATACCCCTCAGCTTGCAAAAGCGTTCCTCATCAGTATTTACTCCCGAGGCACTTGCTTAGTAAATAGGCAAGTGTACATCATTATGCCCATTTTTAAGATAAAGAGCTTGCGGCTCAAATGGCATAGCTGGTAGCTGGGAGCACCAGGGCTCGAACCACAGCCCAACCACCTGGTTGTGCGACTAGGGGCAAATGATCCACTCTCAGTCTCCTCGTATATAAAAGGAGGGACTGGACTGGGTGATCTCTAAGACCCCTTCCAACACCAGTGTCACATGATACACAGCCCAGGGTGGGGGGCATCCAAACATTTAAACAAAAAAGACATGGTCTCTGCCCTCCGATAACCCACAGTTGAGTGGGGGAGACAATGTGTGTGTAAGTAACTCTATCACAAAGCAGGCTACTGAAGGATGTAGCAGAAATATCAAGAAAATAAGAAAATGCAGAGGGAGCCTGGAGGAGAAAGGGATAGAGGATTCTGGCTTTTAGATGAGAACAGGTAACAATTAGCGTGTTGATATTCTAAGGCCTGTGTCAAGTGCTTTCCACATACTATGTAGTTTGTATATATTATTATTATCATCCCCATTTTACAGATAGGTAAACCAAGGTATGTAGAAACATTAAGTAGTCTTCCTATAGTCTCATAGTCGGTGAATGGTGAAATAAGGCTTTGAACCTGGGCATTATGAGTCTGGAGCACATACTCTTTTTTTTTTTTTTTTTTAAGTAACCTCTACACCCAACATGGGGCTCAAACTCAGGATCCTGAGATCAAGAGTTGCATGCTCTACTGACTGAGCCAGCCAGGTGCGTCCCTAGAGCACATACTCTTAGCTACCAAGCTAAGCTTCCATGGTTCTCAGACTGCAGGGCACACCAGAATCACCCAGAAACCTTTCTAAAGAATGCACATTCCAGGTTCCAGGCCCCTAACCTCTTGCTACTCTGATTCTCTGATTCTGGGGTCAGGCCTGGGAATCCACACTTGATGTAATAAATGCTCCAGGCACCTCTGATGTAGGCGTTCCATCACCTTGAGAAACACTGTCTTGATCCCCAGAGTTTCCCTCACTTGTCTGGTCATAAGAATCCCCTGGGGTTCTTGTTATAAACAGATTCCTATGTCTGTCCCCTGGGCATTCTGATTCTTGAACTTAGGCATGTCTGGGAAACACAGGGCATTCTTTTTCCTCGGGTATGCTTCAGGCTGAGAGCAGACTCCTACAGGCCCAGTTTCGCAGAGGCTGGGTCTGGTGTCTGGGCATGGGGCAGCCTCCTTGAGAACATTTCAGATCATTGCGTGGACCAGGGATTGGCAACTCTTGGCTTATCTGTCAAAGGGTGGTTTGGCCAAGGCTCAGCCTCGGCAAAGATAGGGAACTGTTAAATTTCTCTTTGTCCTTTGCCCTCTTCAAATGTTGATCCTCTTTTCTATCCAGCACCATTTCCTCTGTCCTGCTATCCCCTTCCTTCTATCCTGGGTGTGCTTCCTGGCTTTCTGAACAGCTATTCTTTCTCCCCTTCTTCTTGAATCAGTGTCAAGGAAGGGCTGTCTGTGCTAACTGATAAAGTGTGAGGAGAGACTAACATTTTTGAGCCCTGTTACGTGCCAGGCACAGTTAGCTGGCAAGATTTTAGTTATAGCCCTGATGGAGACAGATGAATTCTTAAAGGGATGTTGGCTAGCAGAGGCACCGGGAGGACACTCCTACTAACTCTGCCCTCCCCTTCCCAGCTCTGGGGTTTCTGCTGCCTGCAAGCCCTCCTTGCTGTTGGAGACCTGGGGCCCCATCTCAAAATCCCAAGAGCTTCCGGTGGTATATGTGGGAAGGAGCTGGGACCTGTGGATGGGCACAATCCCAGCATCCTCACACCTGTCCCACCCCATCCTGATGAACAATCGCCAACTCTGATAGATCATCCAAGATGGCCGATGTCTTCTTTGGACAAGAGTCAGGAATTTTCTGTGCTCTGGAAAGCCAAGCATGAACTGTTCAGAAGCAGCCCCTGACCTTAGCAACAGGCCCCTGACAGGTGAACTGGAATGCAGCAGGTTGCCCTAGGACAGTTTCTGGAAGGAGATGAGAGGAACCAAGATTTATGGAGCACCTGTATATTATCTCGTTTAATTTCCACATAAATTCAGCGAGGGAGTACGTGGAGCCTTCCTGGGAACTTTGTGTTTATTGGCTTTCTTCTCTCTTCTAAATTCCCATTATGGAAACCTTCAAACTCACAAAAGAAGGGAGAATGATAACATGAACCCCCAGGCGCCCACCGCCCTGCTTCGGCCATTCCCTACCTGATGTCACCGCCTTCATCTCACCTTCTCTCCCCCTGCCACTTTTATTTTCTGGCCGATATATTTTAAAGAAAATCCTTGGCACAATATCATTTCACCTGTAAATACTTTGGGACATACCTCTAATGGATTATTTTTAACACAACCACAAAACCATGATCAAACCCAAAAATTTTTTGATAATTTCTTAAAATCCAATTCCCAGTTTGGGTCCATTTTCCCAGAATTACCTCAGAAACGTCCTTTACAGCTGTTTGCTTGCATCAGGATCCAGACAACATCCACATAGTATACATGGTTGACGTCTCTTAAGCTGTTTTCATTTACAGTGGTCAGCTCGCTTCCCCACCCCCAACCCTGATGAAGAAACCCGGTCACTTGTCCCAAGTATAGGCATTTGGTTTGATGAGATTCAGATCCACTTTTAACACACCTCCCTTCCTCCTATATCCTGAATATTGGTCAGCAGACCTACAGGCCTGACTAGACTCACTTTTGGGCAAGAGCTTCCTAAGTGGCGGGGGTCAACCCTCCTGCGCCACACCGGGACGCTCGACCGTCCCACTGTTAGTGGTGCCAAGGGGGAGCGGCTGCCTCAGGTGTGTCAGCCTGACCCAATCACTATAAAATTCTAAAAAAAAAAAAAAGTTACTCAAGTCCTAACCCCAAAGTCCTGACTCAGAAGCTCCCCCATCTGTGTGTTTAAAAGGCTCTCCTAGAGAACCACTGGATGGAAGGGTGGAAGGGTGATTCTGATTCTCCACGTCACTGGAGTCTGTGTGAAGGGCAATGTGGCCCACCGTGCCTTCCAGCTGCTTTCGGGGGCTGCTTCCAGGCACCTGCTGTCCTCATCTCTTTCCAGCGGGCCAAGCACTGACGTCTAAGTTCACTAAGCTCTAGTGAGAAGGGAACCCAGCCCTGCGGGGAAGGTGACAAGACAGGCAGAGTCACTGAGACCAGCCTTCACGGAGGAGAGCCCTTCTGCGATGGCTTCTGTGACTCTCCCTGCCACCCTGGGAGTCAGACCAGGCAGGGATCCTCGTTTCCCTTTAACAGATGAGCAAAGTAAAGTTTCAGGTGGTTATAAAAACGCACACCGTAAGTGTCTGAGCCAGGTGGGAACCCAGGATTCTGAATTTTTAATAATCGCCCCGGGTTGGTTCTGCCACAGGTGGTCCACGGACCACCCCTGGAAAATCACCGAACGTATGGCACTGCTCCCTACTGGCTGCTATCACCCAGCCCTATCCAGCACAAAGCCTGCCCCGGAGGAGCTCACAGTCCTGGGGCAGAAGAGAGCATGTGCTAGTGGCTGTAACAGGTGGGGGGGGGGGACATAAAGATGATTCAGATAAACTGCTGGGGGAGGTGAGGAGGGAGCACTCACTGCCAGTGGGGGAGATCAAGGAAGTCTTCCTGGAAGATGTGGCAATGAGCTGAACTTGGAAGGAGTAAGGCTATTCTGGGTGGAGGGGGCAGCGCTGGCAAAAGAATAGAGGCAAAGGGAAATGTTATAATCTTTTGGGGGGTTGGAAGGGTCAGTGAGATGGGACTTAACAAATACGGAGGTTCCAAGAGAAGGAAATGAAGCAGAGACAAGGCATATCTGAGTAGCTGAGTCAGACGTCTGGGGACTTGCGAGGAGGCCGCAGGACTTGAGCTCCCGGGCCCGTGGGAACACTCCCTCTCGGGGATACTGGTCCTCGAGCGCAACTCCACGGGAGCCTGCTAGTTGAGAGCAACCCGCAGCTCTGTGCCCAGCGGCAGTGTGAGCACTTTACATACCCTGCCTCATCCACTTCACCCCCATTCTTAGGATGAAGGTACCGTTATTCCCTGCATGTTACAGAGGAGGAGATTTAAACTGTCACGGTTGTGACATGGTGGGGCTGGGATTCGTGTTATTCTGGCTCCCTCAGACTCCACTTCTGGCCACTCTGCTTCCTTGCTTCTCACCCTCTCAGAGGGTAAAGACCCTAACAGCCTCCTGCCCATGAAGTCCTGGAATCTTCTCCATCCTTCTGCTTTTCCCCTCACAAGCTCCGGGGAGTTCTTCTGCCCGTCTCCCCTCTCCTTCCATCTCCCCAGAGCAGCCCCCACTGAACAGTCTCTTGGGTTTCTGTGCAGTGGGATGCCAGCTCCCCAGCTCCTCTCTGCCTTTCAGTCCTCGGAATCAACCCACAGTCCTCGTTCCTTCAAGGGCTGTGCAGGGACCCAGGTACAGGGGCTATCACAGTAATAGACACAGGCTGAGAACAGAGGTTTAGAGTCTTGCCAAGTGCTCAGAGCCCTGCTCCCTGGTTCCCAGCGGAGGTCCCTGTGGATGCCCCCCGAGGAAGAGCCTGGTCAGGAGACAAGAGGCCCGAACAGCTTGTCCCAGGTCGAAGAACAGGCGAGGAGCAGAGCCAGGCAGGACCGGCCCCCAGGAAGCAGAGCTGCCTTCCGCTGGCTCTAGTAGCTGCCTTTGTTTGGGATGGAGCTGAGAGATGAGCTCACCCTTCCCCGCTGCCAGAGGAACCAGGACCCGAGGCAGGAACTGGGGGCGGCCTGGCCTCCTCCTGCCAGCTTGCCCTTCCCCAGCAGAAGGCCAGCCCCAGGCTCTTGGCCAACCTTGCACTGATCTTGTCCGTCCGCACTTCGCTGAAGACACTGGTGGTGTCAACGGAGAGGCAGGCATGCACTCCTCTCTTCCCAAGACCTTAACCAGGAAGCCCAGAGACAATCCCCAGCCCCCATGACCCTCACGGGGCCCTCACCTGCGCTGGGCAACTTAGCCAGTGACACTGGAAGCAGAGTAGGCACTAGGACTCCTGACCTCCTCCTGGGCTCCTGCAGCCTCCCCTGCACGTCAAGGTGGCAGGAATGAGCTGCAACATGCCTCAGGGCTGGGCAGTGAGAGGCAGAGCTCAAATGCCAGAGGTCAAGGCAAGCAAGAGGTTATAACTGGACAACAGCCTGCCCAACTCCCTGTCCCTTGTGTTCCTTTCCCAAAGCTGGGGTTACTTAACCCCCCCACCTTTATCCCCCAAATCAGGCCTTGCTCTGTCTCAGGCCTGATCCAGAGGCTCAGAGGAGTTGGCTTAAGAAAGTCCGGTAGCTGGAACCACACTGGCCTTGTGCTTCCTTTCTGGTCGATGGGCTTGTTCCAGGCACCGAGCTGCCATCTTCTGTATGCTAACAAGAGCTATTAAGCAGCGCCACGCCCTTTATGCATATTATCTTATCCAGTCTTCGCATGACCCTATGAGGTAGGTATGATCTCCTCATTTTACAAATGAGGACATTGAGGCTCAGAGGGTAGACCTGTTGGCCAAGTTCACAGCGCTGGTGGGGGTAGAGCTGGAGATGAAGGTCTGTCTGGCTCACGGGCCCACGTGATGACCACCGTGCCATGTTGCCGCCTCAGCTTCGTGCTCGGGATCCCGTGTCCCACTTTCGGCACCTGGACCTTATTGTTTTCACTCGCATTTGAGTCCCTGCCTTGATCTTGGCCATGGTTCAGTTCTGTCAGGACTGAGATCTTGCCGGACGGAGCGCTGCCTCGCAGTCAGGGCCCTGCCTGCCCCCCAGGTCTCCTGAAGCTGACCGCCTGCCCGCTGCCCCCAGACCTCCCCTGGCTTGGCCCTTTTCATCTCTCACCCAGACCCTTCTCCCAGCTTCCAGCCCGGCCCCACCAATGCCCTACCTCTGGTCTTCCTCCCCTCTCCTCCCTCCTCCAGCCACAGTGCAGCCAGAGTGACTCATCATGTTGCCACCCCCACTCCTGTCTAAACCCCCCACTGGCTAAGGAGCCAATCCAAATTCCTTTGCGTGGCATCACAGAGCCCCACTTGCCAGCCTGGCTGACCTCATCTCTCTCTCTGCCCTCCCCTCGTGCTTTGTTCCAGAGCCAAGTGGAATGAGCCTGCTTGTCCCTGGGTCTTGTTTATAGCGTTCTCTCTGCCAGGAATGCTACCCCCACCCCTCCCTTTCCTACCCTCCGAGTCCATTCTCCTGACTAACTTCTTATCTTTCAAGAGCCGGCTTAAACTTCACCTTTATGAAGCTTTCCCTGGACATCTTCAAGTTTAAATCACTCTTCCCTTTTCAGAATCCTCACTTGACCCTTACAGACATCTATTAAAGCACCTGGAACATTAATCTCACTTATTTTGTTTCTCTCTCCAAATCCCCCATGTATCAAGGTTCCAAAAGGCAGGACTGTGTAGGATTTCTCTGTAGATCCCAGGGTCCAGCATAGGGCCTGACACAAAGCCTTTGCTCAGTGTTTGCTGAAGCAATGGATTGACTGACACCTAAGTGGGTGCCCTGGGCACCTCCCCACCCCTCTCTCCACAGGGAATGACCTCTTCCTGGTGGCTGTGCACGAGCTGGGCCATGCACTGGGACTGGAGCACTCCAACGACCCCAGCGCCATCATGGCACCCTTCTACCAGTACATGGAGACACACAACTTCAAACTGCCTCAGGATGATCTCCAGGGCATCCAGAAGATCTACGGTATGTGGCAGGGGAGAGGGGGCCTCTGCTCTGTCTTCGGGGCTGGACTGTGACTCCCTGCCTGAGGGGTTGCGGGGGGGGGCACTGACATCCATCACCATAGCCGCTGTCCGACCTTTAGAGACTTCTGAGGTCTTTGCCTGACCCACTGGGAAACTGGGGGAGGGTCTGAGCTGCCAAAAGTGAGCGGAATCCCACCCGCTCCCTCTTCTCTACCTCCTCCCCCTCATACACCTCCCCTTCGTCTCCTGTGGTGCACTTTCAAGGGGACCCCCACCTCTAGTCAAGAGATTTTTTTTTAAAAGATTTTATTTATTTATTTATTTGAGAGAGTGAGAATGAGAGAGAGAGAGAGAGAGAGAGAGCACATGAGGGGGGAAGGTCAGAGGGAGAAGCAGACTCCCTGCTGAGCAGGGAGCCCGACATGAGACTCGATCCCAGGACTCCAGGATCATGACCTGAGCTGAAGGCAGTCGCTTAACCAACTGAGCCACCCAGGCACCCGTCAAGAGATTCTTAAACAAGAAAAAATGAGAAGCTGGACTGATATTTTGATAAGATAGGAAAGGCCTCCCTCCCAGTTCCCTGTTCACACTGGTATGTGAAGGCCTAGTTCTTACCAAGTCAGTTGAGATGAGAAGACCAGTTACTGGAGCAAATGCATGTCAGCATAGCACAGGCCGCCTCAGCCCCCAGGTTATGAAGCACAGGAGGAGGGCTCCCTCCGGAGGTCCTGAGGACCTCACAGAACAGATGGCCCCATGGAGGATGGGCAGGATCTCCCTCAGTGAAGCAGTGGAAAACAGGACAGGGGAGGTAGGGACTGGAGATATTTTGAAAGTAGAATGGACAGGATTTGCTGATAGATCAAACATGGTGGTGAGGGTCAAGGACAACACCAAGATTTCTGGCTTTTCGAACTGTGGGCCAATAGGATTCATCAGTCTGTTGCTCAGAGATCTGGACTGGGATATTGATTTGGACTCTTTGGTGTCCAGTTTATAACCACTAGCCACATGTGACTATTGAAGTTTAAATTTATATTAATTAGAATTAAATAAAATTAAAATTTTAGTTCCTCTGTCCACTAACAACTAGTCACTCATTTCAAGTGCTCAACAGCCACATACAGCTGGAGGCCTACTGTATTGGACAGTGCAGATATAGAACATTTCTGCCATCATAGAACATCCTATTGGACAGCCCAACACAGAAGGTCTTTAGAGCCATGAACCAGGATGAGATCACTTAGGGTGGTGATTTTTAACTAGGGGACTCATTGGAATTACCTTGGAATTTTAATAAAAAGTGCCCACATTCTCAGAGATTGGGTTCTAATTGGTCTGGGGTGCTTTCTGAGCATCAAGAGTTTTCAAAGCACTCCCAGTGATGCTAATACGCTGTCCAAGTGAGAAAACTGATCTGGGGACAAAAATAGAGAAAAGAGGACCCAGGAGCACTCCAACCTCTAGAGTAGGGTGGGTGCAGAGAGGTTGCCAGCAAAGGAGAGAAAAGGAACAGCCCGGGCGCCTGGGTGGCTCAGTCGTTAAGCGTCTGCCTTCGGCTCAGGTTGTGATCACAGGGTCCTGGGATCAAGTCCCACATCGGGCTCCCTGCTTGGCAGGAAGCCTGCTTCTCCCGCTCCCCCTGCTTGTGTTCCCTCTCTCGCTGTGTCTCTCTCTATCAAATAAATAAATAAAATTTAAAAAAAAAAAAAGAAAAGAAAAGGAACAGCCCGTGAAGCAGAAGGAAAACCAAGTCGGTACAGGCTCCTGGAAAAGTGCTTCTCTGATCTTGCTCCTCAAAGTGTGGGCCTCAGACCAGCAACGCTGGCATCACCCGAGAACCTGAAGAAATGTAGAATGGCAACCCACCCCAGACCCTCTGAGTCATAATCTGCATTTTATCAAGATCTCTGGATAATTCAGATGCACATCAAAATTTGAGTCCGTAACCCTTGGATTTGGCAACATGGAGGTCACTGGAGATCTTGACAGACAGGGCAGACGCAGTCTTGGAACAGGATAAAGAAGGAAGGGGAGAGCGAGTGAGGCCGGCATGTGTGGAGGGGGCAGAGGAAGATGGTACGGGACATTGAGCCTAAGAAAGGAGCTCTCTCTTATAACAGAAGAGAAGAAGAGAAGATACCAGATTTGCGGGTGAAAGGATGAGAGTCCCATTTAATGGCTCTTTTCATCTATTTTCTTAAAGATTGGGGGAGAGTAAAAAATGGGAGAAGAAACAGGGGGCTGGAGGGTAACAGACCCCAGAGCTGCCTGGGTGGTGATGAGGCATGGGCCCTGGGAGGCCCTGTCTAAATGCAGCCCCTCTCTCCAGGACCTCCAGCCGAGCCCCTGGAGCCCACAAGACCACTCCCCACACTCCCCGTCCGCAGGATCCACTCACCGAGTGAGAGGAAGCATGAGCGCCAGCCCAGGCCCCCCAGGCCGCCCCTAGGGGACCGGCCATCCACACCGGGTGCCAAACCCAACATCTGTGATGGCAACTTCAACACGGTGGCGCTCTTCCGAGGCGAGATGTTTGTGTTTAAGGTAGGGCCAGTCCACTGGCAAAACCCAGATGGTCCCCGGCACTCATTCCCTCTCTGTGGAGCAGGAGAAGGCTGCTGCCCTGGGATTAAGCCTGCTTTGGGCCTGGATGCCAGCTGGCCTGGGGGCCAGGACATGGGGTCCCTTTCTGGTGCTGCCGGGTGATTTGACTTGTTTCCAAGAGGGCGGCCGGGGGACTGGTGATCCTACACCTTCCCAGGGGTTAATGCTGGGGGAAAGTGCTGGAGAACTGCTTCTGGTTAGTGACTTCGAGCAAGTCACCTCCCTTCTCTGGACCTCAGTTTCTCTGTCTGAAAGCTGGGAGTCATCCCCCTAATGAAGGGTGTATGAAGATCAAATGAGTGCATGGCTGTGAAGATAGCAGCTTGGAGTGGGGGCTGGCACGGTGGTGACTGAGTCTGTCTCCAGATCCCACCAGGGTTGAGAGGCCGGTACCGAGGGATGTCTGATAGAAAGCTGGCCAGGCTACATCTTGTCACTTGTCCTGTCCCTGTCACTTTAGCCATGGGCTGACCTGGTGGCAGCCTGTTTGCTGGGTGTGCTACAGACTCTGAGACAGTGTTTGGAATGCAGGATTTCGATTAGGAAGTACCTTTGGGATCAACATGTGCAGGAAGGAGGGAAGGAAGCAAGACTGGCAGAAGAAGATAAGCAGCAACTAGGCCCATTGCAGAGTTGGCCACCCCCACAGGGAGTTCTGGAGCTAGAATGGCCCATCAGGGTCATCCCACATTGGGACCCAAAGGGCTGGGACTCGGTCCCCCCTGCTTCATTCAGTCATTGGATGAGAAGGGGTATGACCTTGGGGAGCTCTCTGAAGCTGAGGCCATCCCCAGGGAGGCTGGCAGTTGAAAACAGCCTGCTGACCACATCCTGGGCCACCAGGGCAACAAGCCCTCCACTGAAGGGGATCTGGCCAACGTGTCTCCGTCACATGGGTGGTTGTAGGGGGCTGCCCCACTCCTCTCAGGGAGTTCTCCCAGCAAGCTCTGAGTACTGAGCAAGAATCAGGCACAATGGGTCAATGACAATCCTGCCTCTCACAGAGTAGCTCTAGGAAAGTCATTTGGCCTTCCTTAAGACTCGGTATATCTCAAATCTACTTAACAGACTTGTGAAAGTCAAACTATGGTTTAAAAAACTCAATGTGAAAGTACTTTTTGTAAAACATCTTAAAAAAAAAAAAAACTTTCTAGTTTTTGTGCCATCTTTTGCACATCACATTCATTCTTTTGCACTCTAACCCCCCCACAGCAACTAGTCAAGTCTGTGTTTGATCATCCCCATTTACACGTGACAAAACTGAGGTCCTGGTAGGTGACAGGCCTTGCCCGGGCTGCCTACCAGCTACAGGCACTGCAGAGGCACAAGACACTAGTTTGAAGAAGAGGGCTTTGATTAGACTCTTGGCCTACTGAGCTGCCATTTATTCAACATCAACTACGTGCTCCCTGCTGTTCTAGGCACTTTGCCCATAATCTCCCATCCGATCCCCATTATTACCCCCATTTGTAGGTGAGGCAATTGTGCTGTGTTCACGGTCATGCCGCTCTGAGTGGAGGAACCCGAATTCGCACCCAGGTCTTGAGGGATTCCCACAGCTTGCTTCCCAGGGCCCTTGCCCTGCTGGGTGGAGCCAGCCAGCAAGGGGGCACTCTGCCCAGGCTCAGTGGCCAGCTTGGGGAGCGGCCGCGGATGTCAGTGACTCTCTGCTGCCCTCATGTGGCCACCCCAGGCCCAGGCATCGCCCCTTCCAGCTCCTCCGCACCTCATCCCTGCACCAGGCCTGGGGCTGTCCATATCATGGCCCCTCAGACAGCAAGAGCCATCAGGAGGCTTATTATGAAGAGAGTTCATGGGCATCCTGTCTTCCTCACAGGGCACTGGAAGCTAGAAGCAGTAGATGCACAGACATCACGGAGGGTTGCAAGGCTGGGCCCAGGGGAAGCTTTTGGGTTATTGGGGCTTGAGCCCCAAGGGTGAGATCACTAGGTTGAGGCAGGGCCTGCCATGCCTTTTTCTCCCCCCCTCACCGACCCCCAGGATCGCTGGTTCTGGCGCCTGCGCAATAACCGGGTGCAAGAGGGCTACCCAATGCAGATCGAGCAGTTCTGGAAGGGCCTGCCCGCCCGCATAGATGCAGCCTACGAAAGGGCCGATGGAAGATTTGTCTTCTTCAAAGGTAATACAGCCTGTGCTGAGAGACCTGGGACAGTTCCCTGACCTTCTTGGGACCCCCTTGCCCCATCTGTACACTGAAAGAGGTGGGGTGAGAAGCAGATGCCCTCCAAGGGCCCCTCTGGCCCTAACAGAGACACTGACTTCTGACAAGACAGATCCCTGCAGGTGGGCGAAGCACAGTCTGGAGGAATCAAGTCATGAAGTGATTGCTGAGGGTCTGTGTGTGCCCAGGTTGGCGGGATAATAAGGTTCAGCCACACTGGATGGTCCAGGAGCCTGAAGACCATGCAGTGCTCCATGGGAGGCCAGCCCAGCAGTTCCGTAAGAGTTGGTGGGGAGGAGGTCACACAGGCTGGAGAGGTCAGGGAAGGGGTCAGGGGGCAGTTAGCATGTATGACATGCCCCCCCCACCCCAGTGCTAGGTTCTTTCACTTCCATTATCCTGAGGTGGGCCCAGCCCAGAAGGGTAAGATACAGTTATGAGACTGACGCGCTGCCTACTGCGCTAAGGAGGCAGGTCAGAAGGGTAAGATACAGTTAGTGAGAAGTGAGGAAAGCAGTCCAAGGGGAAGGGACAGCTCGGGTACACTGGAAAAGCTTAGAAGATTCACTGACCGGCCACAGAGCCACACGTCGGAGAGCAGTGAGCAGTGGCCTGGAAAGGAGAGTGGGGGAGAGTCCTGAGGAGCCTTGGTTGCCAGGCTAGAATGTGGTCTTGACCCGCTAGGGCAATGCTGGAAGTTCACTGGACGTTTCTGAGCAGTGGAGAGCCAGAGGGCAGGCGGCAGTCCAATAGGGCAGAGGTGGGGAGGCCATTTCTGAGTCAGTTGCCGGAGATGGGGGGGGGGAGGAGGGGTGAGCGAGTCGATGAGGTCCACACCAGGGAGGGCCAGTGAGGCCAGAGGGGGACAGCTAAAAGATGCAAAAGGCCTCATAAGAGGCTGAACACGGAGAGGAGGAGGAAAAGGAGGGTGAAAGGTGATGCTAGGGCTTCTTATTGGGGAACTGAGAGGCAGAAAGGTGACGGGGGAGGGAGCCCCCTGCGGAGGTGATGAGGAACTCTGGGAAGCAGATGTGGAAATGCCCAGAGGCCGGGATCAGGGTTCCTGGGTTTGGGGCTCAGGTCCGGTGGTAGTGGCTGTGAGCCCGCAGAGTTGGGTGTCAGTGGTGGAAGGTGGGGGAGTCCTAATAGTGTGAAGCCACAGCAGTGGCTGAGGACGCCCCAGAGGAGAGGAGCAACGGCACGTGAGGGAAGCACGGAGGCTGGGCAGCGTGGGGCCAGCTGCCCAGGATCTGTAGTGACTGGCTTCTGGCCCGCATGCTCTGCCACGGCCCAGGGGCCTCAGTGTCCCACAGAGGCCCTCAAGCAGGCCTCGGTTGTTTCCCCCTGACACTGTGGCTCTATGAATGACTTCAGTCCTAGAAGATGGACCGTGGCACTAGCCACCACCTCTGGTACCACGTGACTGGGGAAGGCTGATCCTGGGCTTCTCCTGGCTACAGGTGACAAGTACTGGGTGTTTAAGGAGGTGACGGTGGAGCCTGGGTACCCCCACAGCCTAGGGGAGCTGGGGAGCTGTCTGCCCCGAGAAGGCATCGACACGGCTCTGCGCTGGGAACCCGTGGGCAAGACCTACTTTTTCAAAGGTGAACGGTACTGGCGGTACAGTGAGGAGCGGCGGGCCACGGACCCTGGCTACCCCAAGCCCATCACTGTGTGGAAGGGCATCCCACAGGCTCCGCAGGGGGCCTTCATCAGCAAGGAAGGATGTACGTAAGAGCCTGGCTGTGTAGGGGGTGGCTGATTTTATGTGGGTCCCAACAGGGCCCATGGGCATACTCTCAGGGTACCCGGATTTGAGAAAGGAGCCTGATGGTAAGGACAATGGCCTCATATCTACCCAGGTTCACACAGTCGTTTCATTCTCCTCCCAGCTACCAAGCCACACTTCTCATCTGCAGGGATGACTCACATTTGAGAGATGTTTCCACAGACTGACTTCATCCCTTCGGACAGCATTTCTCAAATAGTGGTCCTCAGATGTACTCTAGGGGTTCCTCGAGTTATCAGACCTGAAAAGCAATGATGGATATGGGTGCTTTCAAAAGTGCTCGTGTATAAGGCTTGAGGGCAGACAGATGGAAAGAGAAGCCTTTTTTATTTACGAGACATTTCCAAAGCTCCTCCTGGAGGCCAGGCGGGGAGCTTCCCACCAGACTAGGAGCTTCTCAAGAGGAGGGGCTGGGTGTTGCCAGGTGCGGAGTGGGAGTCCATGAATGTTTGCTAAATACATTTCCCCAGATCTGGTCAAAAGCACAGACTCTGGAGCCTGGCTGGCTTCATGTCCACCTCCACCACCTACTAGGAGTTTGGACAAACCACCTCAGTTTTCCCAACATCCTCATCTATCAAATGGGGATAATAACGGTACCTACCTCGTTGGCATTTGTTAAGAATTAAATGAGATAAATTAAGTAGAGCACTGAGACAAACACCTAGTACATGGTCCCTGCCACATGTATTTTAGGGGCTATCGTCATTGCCATCATCAACATCTTGTTGGTGTGTTTTGTTATATAGAATGACAGGAGTCATTCGGTCACTCCACGATAATTGCTTAGCCAGCCTGTGTGGGAGAGCTGGGGAAGTAGCAGAGAACAAGGCTTGCATTGCATCCCTGGCTCCCAGTCTAGAGGCAGAAAACAGCTAAGGTGGCAGCAAATGCTCTAAGGGAAGGGAATGTAGTGGGAGAGCTGGCGGGGGGGTGGAGGAGGGCGCATCAGAGAGCATCTTCGGGAAGGGCTCTCCGCGGAGATGTCACTGGTAAGAAAGCCAAAGTCTCAGGGGCAGAGCTGCTACTTGGTGGCTTTCCTGTGTACCTGATGCTTTACACATGTGGTCTCGCTTTCTGGGAGCCTCAGAGACAGGTGACATCAAGGACTTTGGCCAGTGAAAGTCCCAGGGTGGGAGGCTGGCCAATAGGAGGGTCTGAGTGAGCTGCTTTGCTGTCTCTACCCTGAAGGCTGTTGCCAGGAGCCCGGGAGCCTGCTGTGGCTGCCCAGCCCCTCCACCTCCTTTCTTTCCAGGCCCTTCCCCAGCAGGGTCCCAGAGACCCTGCATCTGTGTTGTGATGTGTGACAAGCCGAAGAAAATCCATGATAGCTGTGACAAGCTGGTGTCCGCTGTCAACAAAAGGAGAAATCTTGCTCCCTGCCTCCCTTGCCTCAAGCAGGAGCTCAACTGAGGCTCTAGAGCTATGAAGGCAGTGCTGTCCAAGCCAGAGTAGGGAGGGTGATCGCACCCGTGGTGGGGGGATGGCAAAGGCAAGTGTGATGGAGCTGTGACCCCAAGCTAAGGCAGGGAGGCACAAATTGGGACTTGTCTACTTCAAGGCCCTCAGTAGCTTCCCAGCACCTTTCAGCTGACAGGCTAGGCTGCTCCAGGTCCTGGGCGCACCTCTCTGCAACCGTGCAGGCCATGTTCCGTGACCCTGCCACACTGTGTGCAGAGTGTGCCAAGCACTGCCCTCCCCCCACCTCCAAGCCTCCCAACGCACTGCTCCCACCCCCTCATATGCCCCCCCCCTCCTTCAGAGCTCCTCTTGGACTCCAGGGTGGGAGAGGTGCCCTTCCTCCATGCTGCCCTCTCACAATGGGTCAGAGCAGGTGTCTGGGAGTGGTGATGCTGGGCCATGTTTCTGCAGATTACACCTACTTCTACAAGGGCCGGGACTACTGGAAGTTTGACAACCAGAAACTAAGCGTGGAGCCAGGCTATCCACGCAACATCCTGCGTGATTGGATGGGCTGCAACCAGAAGGACGTGGAGCGGCGGAAGGAGCGGCGGCTGCCCCAGGACGATGTGGACATCATGGTGACTATCAACGATGTGCCAGGCTCTGTGAATGCCGTGGCTGTGGTCATCCCCTGCATCCTGTCCCTCTGCATCCTGGTGCTGGTCTACACCATCTTCCAGTTCAAGAACAAGGCAGGCCCTCAGCCTGTCACCTACTATAAGCGGCCAGTCCAGGAGTGGGTGTGAGCAGCCCAGAGCCCTTTCTGTCCACTCGGTCTGGCCAGCCAGGCCCTTCCTCATCAGGGTCTGAGGGGCAGCTCTGGCCACTGCCCACTGGGGCCAGCAGGGCCCTAGGCCGGGGGTCATGCAGCTGAAGTGGTAGGTACATTGGCCTAGGCTGAGCGTGTCGCAAGGAGTGATGGTGGCTGTGCCCCAGGGTGGGTGTCTGGCACCCAGCTGCCAGCCTTCTGTCCTGGGTAAACTGCTCCCTACCCAAGGGAATAGGCCAGGCCCCATCAGGAGGCAGAGACCATGCCAGGAGGAGGCCCTGTGGTCACTGAATCCTGTGGTAACAATGAGGCACCACAGCTCCGTTCCTGGCTGGACCCAGCATCTTCTGTGGAAGCCAGCACTAGCACTCTCAGCCCCATCTGGGAGATGCCACCGATCCTGGTCCCCTTTTGCCAACACCTGCTGGTCAGATGTCCCCCTGCCCCTACCCCCACCCCACTGTCCTCCAAGGCTACAAGACCCCTGCTGCCAACATGGTGGGCAACAAGCCTGGGTTTCCCCTGCTGGCATTCAGCAGATCCCTCAGGAAACCTGCTCCACACATCAGGGTCTCCTCTGAGACCTAGGATTTAGGGTCACATGTTGCAGGCAGTGCTGTGGCCCAGCTGGGTCTGACAAGGACCCAGCTGTCACGTCGTGAATATTTAAATGTCCTGTCACTACTGTTTTAAAAGTCCCATTCTGCAAAGGCTGCTTGAGGCGTTAGGTGAATTAGAGGTGACTATCTTGGTGATGAGGCCAGCGTGGCCAGCCCTTCCCCAGGAGATAAGGACCAAGGTGCTGCTAAGGCCACTCTAGCACCCAGACACCCCAGGAGCTGGATTCTGCTCATGGGGCTAAAGGGCTGGGGCAGGAGCTGACCCTATTTCTGGAGGCTGATCTGAGTTGTGACCATCCTCCACTCCCCTGTCCCTCTTCCCCACTCCCCCAGTCCCCGGCCCTGTTGCTTACTGTCTGGGGCTCAGCCTGATGTTAGGTGCGTTAGGTGCAGCAGAAATGGCTCCAGGCCAACATTCTAATGGCTTTGGGGTAATGGGCCCAGGGCAGCCTTCTGAAGTGTTCAGAGCCCACACCCCCAGCTACCCTGAGGCCAACTCAATCTCTTAGCCTGGAAGCAGTGTTGCTAACAAGCTTGGCCCTTGCTAACCCAGCTTACTGGGCCCATCATCCTGCACTGCTCTTTGGAAAAGGGCACCCCCAACTGGTAGCAGTCCCAATGCTAGGGGCCCACCCTTCATTGTCTCTGGCAGGAATTCCTAGGGCTCAGCTTGCCTCTCTTCAACTTGGTAGAGACAGCCCCCTTTGTCACTGAAGAGCCCTAGGCAAGACCAGTGGGTTCAGTGGTGCCCACTGGCTCTCTGCCAAAGCCAAAAGGAGGTATCAGTCCTCAGGGTGCTGGCAGAGCCTCAGATGCCATCCTGGCCCTCTGAGCCTGCATGGGCCTTGCCCCTACCCTGTGGCCTCTGGGCTTTGGGTTGGCCTAACCTGTAGCAGACAGGGACTACTGTTGCCCTGGGAGCTGTCTTGAGCAAAATCTCTCTTGTCCCAGAGGCACCTATGTGGGTCCACTGTGTTCCCTGTCATCATCCTTCTGTTTTTTCTCATTTTGGCCAAGGGCGGGCTCCCTGGGGCGGGTGGGGAACAACTGCAGAGATATTAGTGATTCATAGGTTTGTATAGTGTTTTATACTTTGCAAAGCACTTTATTAGCTCATACCTGTCCACTCACATGAAACTCGTGTAGGCCCTGGGAAGCTTAGGGTACCTCTCACCGTGCCCTCCAGTGAAGCACAGAGAGGTTGTTTCTTGCCCAGGCCATCGGGTGGGCTGGCTGGGCCTTGGGTCCCCACCTATGGACACCTCTGGGGTCCAAGATGAGATCAGAAGGGTCTCTTTTATCCATCTCTTCCTGGCCTCCCTTCTCCCCTTCTAGGTCCCTCTCCACTCCTCAGGTTGGTGCTCTCACTTCTTGAAAGCTCTAGGCTCCCCAGGCTCCCCACTGGCTCCTGGGACTACCGAGGCCAGCTGAGAAAGAGCAAGAGATGGAGGCCAGCACAGGCTGCAGATGTGAGGGATGCGGGGCCAGGCCCGGAGAGGGCTCAGCCTGGAGGCTTCCAATCTCAGATTCTCCTGTCTGGTGGTCATCTGTTTGTCCATCACCCCAGGACAGGGCAGACAGAGGGGCACAGCACTGGGGACCCCAGAGTCCAGCTTCCCTTGGCCTGGGGAACATCACAGCATTTCAGCGTCGGTCACATTTTAAACTGATCAGCCTTTGTATAATGTTTTTTAAATCATTTCTAAATAAAACAAAAATACAGAGTGTGTTGTTTCCCTGGGATATGGGAACAAGGATCAGGTTCTGGGAGTGGCCTTAAGAAGCTTCTGGGAGAAGGGGAACAAGGGGCTTTGGGGTGTCTGGGAACTGTCCCATGCATCTCATCTCCCAGCCCAGCAATCACATGTCTCCTCTCTCCAAAAGGCTGGCCCTGGAGGCCCAGTGTTACTGGGGTTCCTGGAACACAGCCTGATTATGCCTCACTGAGATCCAGGATGACAGAGCAACCTCCCTTAGGAGTATGGGGAGGGTTACTGTGGCTAGGTCTTCTCCAAAGCCAAGGCACATGGCGCCATAACCAAAGACTAAAGCAAAAGCCCCGTTCTCAGCAATAAGGGGCAGACGAGAGGAGGTCAGGTCAGCAGTCTTGGGGTCTTACCAGGAGTCCTGGCCAGGTTTTGGAAGCCAGCGCCGGGGAGGGCTGCCCCAGGACCCAGACCGCTTAAGAAGCTACGGGGCGGGGGTGAGCACGAAGGTTTGAGCTGGTTTGGGTGCAGGCTGAGAGGCGAACAGGGGGCTGCTAGAGGCGAGCCGGTGCCCCATCCATGGTCCTCCGTGACCTCCCCGACTCTCCGAGCGTCTCCTGGGCACCGGGGAGGGAAAGAGACCACAAGAGACGAACCAGGTGAGGCGGACAGAACGACAGTTGGCGGCGAGCGGTAACTGCGGAGCGCGGCTTGTCAGTACCAGGAGGTGCAGGCGATGAGGAAGCGAACATCGTCCAGCGGCCCCCAGGGACCAGGTTCAGGCTGGGGCCGCTCAGGGGCCTCGGGCGCCCCGGGCTCGGGTTGGGGTTGGGGTTGGGGTTGGGGTTGCGGTTGCGGTTCGGGCTGAGGCTGCACCTGCGCCGGGGCGCCCTGCCCGCCGCTCAGCCGAGCGCCCATGGTCTGCAAAGAGAGGCCGTCAGGTGTGGGTCAGCCGCAAGCCACCCAGTCTCCCCGCCCCGCTCCAGCCCGGCCCTCACCTCGCGCCGCCCGAGCCCCGGGTCTCCAGGATCCCAGCGCCGGCGTCTGCGCTCCGCTGGGCAGCGTAACGACGCCGGGAGGGGCTGGCGTCGTGACCTCACCGCGCGCTGGCCCCGCCTCCCGGCCGCCGCGGCGCAGCTTCAGATCCCGGGGGCGGGCCCGACAGACCCGACCCCACCCACCAGCCGCCGGCCAGTGCCGCTCCAACGTCCCGGGCCCCGCCCCGCACGCAGCCCGGGGACACGAACGACTCTGCCGATGCTTCCCACACCAACTGAAGCTACTGAGGGAAGTTGTTTTGAGGATGTCCAGGGCACCTGGCAGCCAGGCCAGCGACCTCCGTCCACCTCGGTCCAAGAAGACAAGACCGCCGTAGAGCCAGGTGCCTCAGACCCCTCACAGGTCTTCATACCGGCCCAGAGGAGAGCTGGAACAGATTCTCATCCCTTTAAGTCCAGAAGTATGAGGCTTAAGTGTGTGGAAAATGCGAGAACTACAGTAGAGCTTCCTCCTCTTGCCCTGGGAGGAAGCCACCCATCCTGATCATGGGGGTTGGAGGGTGGGAGATTGGGAAACTGACGTGTGTGTGTGCATCCTACCCACTTTCCCCCAGAACAATGCTAGGGAAGGAGGGGCAGGCAGAGGCCCCCAAACAACACATTCAAGAATAGCCAGAGGCAGCTGCCCTTTAATGGGGGGGGGTGGTGGTACAGCAAACAGAGCAGTCAGTCAGGAGCCCTTAAGGCCTGACAGACAGCACAACATGGCAGATTTTTGCAGTAACTGTAGATTCAGGAGATGGGCACAGGTGAAACGCTGGGCATCCAGCCACTCAGTCCCAGTGAGCTCTCTGCCAACTCCCTGCCAGCATCCAAAACAGACTGGGTGGGGCATGGAGGGAGCCAAAGTCCAGAGCCAGGAACCCACAGAACAGCATGGAAGGTGACTCAGGTGAGGCTAGGGAGAAAAGAAGGAACACTGTCAGTAGGGTGCTTCTCAGAGCACACCTCACCCTTTATTCTTAAGATGTCTGCCTCCACCCTTACCCCTTTGTTCCAGCTCAGCCCTGAAGAGCCATACTCAGAGCCCCCCACCCCCAGATTACACTGCTTCCTTGAGTCACAATCCAGTCTAGAACTCTCAGTGCTTAAAAACTAAAAGTAACTCCTTCCCCACTCAACTCAAATTTATTCAAACTTATCCATCATAAACCAGAACCTCAGAAGTCAAGTCCAACAAACATCAGAGAAGGAAGTAAGGGGATTCAAAAGAGAAGGGACATGCCCAGACCACAAATCCCCCAGTGGCAGGAATAGGGCCAGAACATTCTTCCTGGAGGTAATAATTATGTGTACAATTGTAAAACTAGAAAACATTTCTAATCACCTACCTGACCCCATCATCATGAGCTCTCATGGGCACCTCGAATCAATGGGTTCAAAACCAAAGGAGCCAATGAGTTTTGGCTCTTCCTTTCTAATACCCACTTCTTTACCTTATCTAACTGCATGAGCTAGGACCACCAGAGGCTGACCCGTGCTGGGGACTGTGGGCAATTCTGCCTGACTTTAAGAGCAGTTTCTAAAGTCTCACCATTAAATACAACATTTGCTGTAGTTTTTTAGTAGGTACCAATTATCAGGTTGCAGAAATTTCTTTCTGTTCTTAGGCTGCTAAGAGGTTTTATTTTATTTTATTTTTTTAAAGATTTTATTTATTTATTTGAGACAGAGAGAATGAGAGAGAGAGAGAGCACATGAGAGGGGGAAGGGTCAGAGGGAGAAGCAGACCCCCCGCTGAGCAGGGAGCCCAATGAGGGACTCGATCCAGGGACTCCAGGATCATGACCTGAGCCGAAGGCAGTCGCTCAACCAACTGAGCCACCCAGGCGCTCTGCTAAGAGGTTTTAAATTTTGTTCTTTAATTAAATGATTGTGTACATACTGTCTTCTTTGTAAGAGTCTATGTTCCACAAGGGCAGGGAGGGTGTATTTTACTCATCACCATCATGACTGGCATAGTAGATGTTCAAAAAAAAAGTTATTGAACAAATGACAAAACCACTGGTACCACTTTCCCATTCAGACCCTTTCAACTGCTCTCCCAATGCTGATTCCCCATCAGAATCACCCAGAGAAACTTATTAAAATAAACCACACATGGTTGGGTCTCACTCCAGACCGAGGCAATCAGTAAGTGAGGGGTGATGCCAGGAATCTACATTAACAAGCAGCTCAACAGAGACTAAAGGTCAAAATCACAGGCCTACAGTCAAAACTTCTTGATGAGGGCATTCAGGGTCTTTGACACTCCGGCAATGCAACCTTTCCCCTTCACACTCGCCTTACTTTCCCATCTCGGGGTCTGTCTGAAGTGCTCCACCCCTCCCACCCCCCTCCATCTCTGCATATTCAAATACCTACTCATTCCCCCGGGGTCCAGACTAAATGATGTGTCCTCCACAAAACCTTCCTGGATACCAGAGTGTCTCACTGGAGCTTCCTGAGACACTTAGGGAACAGGGCTCAATGCACATCAGGTGAATGAATGAATGAAGAAGGGAGAATGAAGGGTAATTTTGCCTGTTGTAAGCAGGGGCTCTGTTATTGAGTGCTTGCTCTACTATGGGGTTCCTATCCTCATAAAGACTCCTGTGATACTTGGGGGGTGGCCTGCCTTGAGAAGAACCCTCCATGGGAAGGGTGAATATCCACACCTGCTGCTCTTCCAGAGCCTCACACCCCAGACTCTCCAGGGTTAGGGCCCAAGAACCCACTTCTCTCTTAAACCCATAAAAATCCAGATGACTGTGATTCTGATGCAACCCCACCCCCAACAAGCCCCTTAGGGTCTCCTCAGTTCCTAAGAGCAGCTTCCCCTCCTTCACTCTGTAAACAGCTTTTTATCTCAGGCTCTCGGCTGCTGGCTGGGGACATGGACACACAAGCAGCCACAGACAACAGAACAACATGGTGAGAAAATAAGATGGCCCAGAGGGAAGCTTTGCGGAGCTGAGCCTTCAGAGACGGCGATAAGCAGATATTCAGGCAATGCTTGCTGGCTGTGCCCTGTGACCCCTCAGCAGCGCTGAAGGTGTGCCCTCCCACACGAGGAGAACCCACCGGTATGAACGCAGTGTGGCTCCCATTCTAGGTGGCTTCTCCTTCCCCTACCCTCCAAAGGCAGAAGAGAGGCCCACACACCTGTCGATGAGGGAATCCCGCATGCTGGTAGCAATGGTGCTCGGCTGGGCTTCGTTCAGCTTGAAGACACTCTCCACCACTGACAGCTCTGTGCTGGTTGTGTCCAGGCCACAGAAGGCACACCAGTCGTTCACCACCATCCCCGCGGCAATCACCTCGCTGCCTCGGTTCACAGTGCCCGCCTGCCAAGGGATGGCTCAGTGTGGATCATGGCACCAAAAGCCAAAGTCTTGCTGCTCCCCGATGAGGAGGTTCCCCAAACCCTGCTCTCTGCCCTGCAAACCCAACTGCAAACTGTGACGGGTAATAACTCCAATCCCTAACACTGGGCAAAGGATCTGCCTCAGCAGGAGGTGGAGGTCTGAGAAAGGAACGCTTACCACAAGGGGGACCTGAAGAAGAGAGGACAGCTCATCTTGGTCTTCGATTGAAGTCTTGGGATGTACCAGGCCTCCCTGATTGCTGAAGACAGAGTAGCTTCCTACTAGCACCTGGTCAGCCACTGTCTGTCTGAAGACTTCCACCCTGAGCACATCAGCCAGGATTTCTTCTGTTTCCTGTTAGCCAAAGGCACGGTACTCAGCCCAGAACTTGCAGGTCAAGGAACCCAGGGCCCTCCATGCCCAGAACCACCCAGGGCTTGGCTCCCTAGGCCCCTCATTCCTCTGCTATGTAGCTGCATATGGAAGCTTCGCACAGAAAAAGGAGGGAGTAGAGCTTGGAGCAGAGTCTAGACCAGCTACGGAGCCCCTAATATCTGTGCATGCCCTGAGCAGACAGACTGGTCTCCACGTCACTCTCTTCCCTCTAACCCACACTCAAGAGTTCAACTGTCAATTATCCCTCCTGGCGTTGGTTGCAGAACAGATGGGTCCATCTCCCTGATTCTGAAGGATTAATACCCTCCTCAGCTTCTTTCTTGCACTGACCACACCATGGAAGGCCTCTATTGCCACTATCCAATGAATGCCTGTCACGAGAGAGCCCAAGTATAAAGAGAAAACACAAGAGACACCCCTAAGTCCTGCCTGATAGGCAAGAACAGTGACTAACCACTGACTAGGCTGGTCCTGTGACTCCTGGGCCAAATCGGGCTACTTTACCCTGTCCAGGTCTGGGTGGACCAAAGCCACATAGTCGTTGCACGTGGTGACATTGCCCAGGGCTGAGAGCCGCTCCTCCACCCGCCGGATCTGCACTGAGTCTGGGAGGCAGTTGCGAATGTGCTGCAGTTCCTGGTCCGTGGTGTTGTTGGGCACCAGGAGACCATGTCTGTTCCCTAGAGAGACCCAAATTAGGAGGTGGGGCAAGATGCCTGCGAAGCTCAGGGGGCTGAAGACACAATCCAGCCCGTTTAGCTTCCCCAGGAAAGGTTTAGGCCCAAACCCAGCCCACCAACCTACTGATCCATGCAACACCCAGGGGGACCAGGAGTCCCACTGGGTAGGCCAGAGATGGCCCAGGAATCTATCCCAACACACCCCGTCCACTCTGCCATCATCAACCCTGGGGGACCAGGACTAGCAAGAGGAACTCTTGGCGTTAGTTGTATATTTTGCCACTTAAAAACTGAGGTAACACTACACACCAGAAGGCTAAAATTTTTAAAAGAATGCCGATACCACGTGTCAGCAAAGATATATGGAACAACCAATAGGAGTGTAAATCGGTCAACCACTTCAGATAATTATCTGGCATCACCTGCTACATATATTCACATACCCTGTGACACAAGCATTCTTCTCCTAGGTATTATATATCCAAAAGAAACATGTCCATGTGTTCACTGAAAGAGCAACACTATTCATAATAGAACTAACCAGGGACGCCTGGGTGGCTCAGTTGGTTAAGCAACTGCCTTTGGCTCAGGTCATGATCCCAGGACCCTGGGATTCAGCCCCACATCTGGCTCCTTGCTCAGCAGGGAGCCTGCTTCTCCCTCTCCCTCTACTTGCTACTCCTCCTGCTTGTGCTCTCTCTCTCTCTGTGTCAAATAAATAAATAAAAATTCTTTTTTTTTTAAAGATTTTATTTATTTATTTGAGAGAGAGAGAATGAGAGAGAGAGAGCACATGAGAGGGGAGAGAGTCAGAGGGAGAAGCAGGCTCCCTGCCAAGCAGGGAGCCCGATGCGGGACTCGATCCCGGGACTCCAGGATCATGACCTGAACCGAAGGCAGTCGCTCAACCAACTGAGCCACCCAGGCGCCCAATAAATAAAAATTCTTAAAACAAACAAACAAACAAACAAAAGAACGAACCAAAAACTACCCAAATGCCTACTGTCAACACAATGGTTGAATATACTGTGGTATATACTTACACCAAATGCAATAAGAATGAACAAACTACAATTATATTGTGACAACAATAACTAAATCTCCGCCTACCACTGCAAGAACACAATTCTGAACTTCTGAACTCTGGGAGTTACACACATTATTAAAAAACCACCCAGCATCAAGTCCAAAGGTCATGAGTAGGGATGAGAGTGTTTGGCCTGAATAAGAAAATCCTCAGAGGCCAAGGTCATCAGGCTTATGAGAAAAAAAATAAAAGAACAAACTCCTATATGGCTCCAATAAACAGAACTAGCAAGAAGGGGTGATAGTAAAGAAATAAGGGGTGACAGTGAGACAGATCCAGCTCCAAGAAAAGATCAATGGCCAGACTCAACAGTGATGGGAAGTAGGGGCGTAGGGTGGGGATGCCACTCAGAGACATGGTAAAGGGGATTTACGATTTAAATGGACAACTGAATAGGATGACCCAGAATCTTAGCTTGTCATTTTGTAGTGGCAGAACTGGATCCTCACAAAGAGGAAGCAACATGCCCAGAGTCAGCAGCAAGGGGGAGATGACATTTCAGTGTTCCCTCACACTAGGTGTGGAACCTGGTGAGACACTTGGGTTCTTTGGATCTTAGCGTCATCATTAGTCAGGTTAGGCAATAATGCCTACCCGCCAGTATCTGGGTGAAGAAGGAAAGAAATCAAGTGTAAGAGTGAAAGCACTAAATGTTATTTGTTATTCTGTGATCCCGAAGCCTTCGCCAGTGTCAGATCTGCTGACACTTTAACTGGGTCTGGCCCAGGCCTGAGAGATTCTCTAGTCTCTGGAGATAGTGGATGAAAGCCTGGAAATCCCAGGGTCAGTCGGGGTTCCCTCCAAGGCTACAATTAAAGGCTCTGGGCGGCTCTACGCCCTCCCTCCGCGTCTTCCACCCGGCTTACCCACACACATGCGCCCGATGATGCGGCAGCCGGCGATGGACGCGTGCACCACAGGGATGGTATCGGCGAGCTCACCCTCAAACACACTGTAGGAACACGGATTCAGTGGTTACGGGGCTGAGGGGCGTGAGCCCCCGACTCCCAGTACCCTCCCCGCCATCCAGCCACCCCACTGCCCGCGGGCCCCGGGGCTCCCGCCGCACCTGTAGAAGTTCTCCGACCCTCCGATGGCCACCAGGCAGTAGGTGTTGGTGAGTTTGGCAAAGCAGCCGATCTCACAGTTGTTCTCGAAAGACGCTCGGACCGCCATGAGGCCTAAGGGCTGCGGGACCGGGAGTTCAGGGCCCGAGGATCCTCTACCGGCCCTGGGTCCGGGTTCGCCGGCCTCGGCCCCTCTGGCCCCGCTGCGACCACGCCCCTCTCGGCCCCTCAAACCTCGGGTCCCGCCCACTGGGCCTCTCTAGACTCTCTAGCCCCGAATCCTCCGGCTCCTACCACTAACGATGAGGGGAGCCCGGACCTGTCCCTTCCGGTATCCCTCCACACAGGCTCACCAATCGACCGCAGCCTTCGCACGCGGCGAAGGCTTCTACTCGGCCCTAAGTAGGTTTCCGTTTCCGCCTCCGTCCAGGGAGACTTCCGGGAGCGCTCGGCGCACCCCGCCACGCAGGCGGCCACCGTAGCTCCACCCTCTGGCGGACTCCGTGGTTGCAAGTGGTCCGGTCCGGATCCCACCTGGCCCCGCCCCAAGCATGCTCTCATTCATCCATCCATCCATCCGTCCGTCCGTCCGTCCGTCCATCCATCCATCCATCCATCCATCCATCCATCCATTCATTCATTCATTCAGGAGCTTTTTAGGAGATACAATTGACCGAGACCTGTGGCTGGTTGGATGCGAGGCATAAGAGAGGAGGAGCCAGGGATGTCTCGCAGAGACACGAAGAATTGATGATGGAGGTATTTACCGAAGTAAAGCCTAAGGAGGAAGAGCAGGAGTGAGGAAGGTGACAGGCCGAGAGTGAGGTGCGAGACAGACGTCCAGGCCAGATCTGGAGCCCAGGGGAGAGTGAAGGACTGAGATTTGGGGCTGAAGCCTGGGGTGGATGAAGTCACCCATGGAGGCGTCCAGTGGGGAGAAATGAGACCAGGACAAAGGCTGGAGAAGGAGGCGTGGCCAGAGAAGTAGAAGAAACCAGGCTGAAGACGGTATTGGAGAGAGGCGAGGGTGGATGAAACCGCGTCTTAGGGAGGGTCCAGATGGGCAACCGTGTGGGTCCTGACTGGCTGCCACTGTGTGCCCCTTGCATGTGCTTGATCACTCAGTCAGCAGCCACTTCCTGCCCCCGAGATAAATGGTGGCAATCAAGGGACCTGATCTCATGGATGAGAGGAACTTGATCTACATTTTGTAGAATCCACAAAAGCCCCAGGGCCTCTAAGAATGTCACAGTGAGGGTAAAGGGGGCCTGGAGCCCCTGTCCTAACCCCCCCCCCCCGGCCCGCCCCCAGCCCTTCTGCAGCCATCCACTCTCCCTCAGAGAGCCCTCCATTATTGGACTGAATGGTGCCCTTTCCCAGCCCTCAACATGCAGTTCCATAACTCCGCCTTTCTCAGAATACACCAGGCTGTTGCTGGGTCATAGCATGTCTGCCTTTATTGATTTGTATCGTGACAACTGTCCCAGGCAGGTGGTGAGGTCCGGAAAAGGATGTAGAACCTGTCAAAGCCTGTGCTTCCAGGGACACTCAGCAAAATGATGTGTGTGCGTGCGTGCGTGCGTGCGTCAGAGTCTGAGTATCCATGCCCTCTACATCCTCCCCAGCTCATCTCAGACGCACTCCTCCAGTCCTCCCCCTGGCCTCTCTTCATCTGCTTCCTTCTACCAGAAATTCCTCTTTCCTCCATCTGTCCAATCCTCCCCATCCTTCAACGCCTGGCTCGAAGGCTGCCTCCTTTGAAACTGCTCACCACTCCACCATCACCACCACTCTCTGCCCTTCCTTCTCCACCATCCTGTCACTAATTAGCCTTTAGTTAGATATAGTTCTGTCTTGCCCCCCAATGGTTTATGCATTTATTCCTTGTCTCCCAGGGACTGAGTCTGATTCACTTGTCAGCCCTATGGTATGCTCAGTACAGGGCCAGGTACACAGCTTAGGTCAAAGAAGATACTGGTTGGTGTGTGCATGGCTCTATGTGTGTGTGTGTGTGTGTGTGGTTATGTGCATATTTATCATCTGTGGATCCTGAGGGGTCTACAGTGTGCACTGAATGCATATATTTTGTGTAGCCATTCATTTAGCCATATAACATTTAATGAGTACCTATAACTAGAATTCTGGGTGTTTGGGTTTATCACATGGACCTCTGTGTACTTACTGTGTGTCTATGGATGTGCAGTTTGTGGATGTGAACCCTGTTGGTGTATTGTGTAGGCATTTGGGGCATCTCTGTGATGTGCATATTTTGTGTGCATGGGGACATGTGAACTGTTGATAATAGTGTACCCTGTGCAAAAACACAATCTTAAGAGTCAGAGACATGGGTTTGGGCCCTAGCTCTGCCATTGACTTGGATCTGATTCCAAGCAAGCCATCAAATTCTGGGCCTCAGCTTCCACAGTTATAAAATAGGGAAGATAATATCTATGACCTTAGAAATGTATACCTACTAGAGGTCTATCTTGTAGGATATTGTGAGGATGAAGGATGAGAATTAACCAGTGTGAAGTGCACAGCACAGTGGCAAATGGCAGGTACTATGGGTTCCATTTCTGTGTGTGTGTGTGTGTGTGTGTGCGCATAAACAATCCTGAGCCCAGCGAGTGTCTAACCTGGGCTTCTGGACACCCTCTGCTCCCCATGCAGCCCCTGCTGGAGCACCCCAGAGTCTGGAACCTAGGTAAATCTAGAGTCTCAGTAGATGGAAGAGGGACACGTCCCTGCTGGGAGCAGGACTAGGACTCAAAGCGGCTTCGGAGCAGCTTGAACTTGGACTTGCTGTACTTAGTGATGAGGTCCAGTTTGCTGTGGCCCAGGGTCATCCGCTTCTCATCCCCAAACAGGCCATTGTTACTGCCATTGAGATGTCCCCCTGTGGGGCCCCCAGGGAAGCCAGGCTCAGGTCTTTGCCTGGCACCCTGCAATTGATGATACTTGGTGATGAGGTCCAGCTTGCTGTGGCCCAGGGTCAGCCGCTTCTCATCCCCAGAGCCCACTCCAGCCTTTTGAGCAGGGCTTGGTCTGGGGAGACCATTGGGCCCAGGCCCCTCGCCCCGGAATGGGCCAAACTTTGTGATGAGGTCCAGCTGGCTGTGGCCCAGGGTCCGTCGTCGCTCATCTTGACGCTGCTTGCCAGCCCTGGCTGAGGAGCTGGCTTCAGGGGGCACTCTGGAGCCCCCAGCCTTGGGGTATTGTACCAGGAGGTCCAGTTGGCTGTGGTTTGAGGGCAGCCTCTTGTCCTCTGGGGTTCGATTGCCAGGTCTGGGGGAACCTGACTCAGGGGTACCCCCAGCACCCGGGGTCTGGGGCAGGAGATCCAACTGGTTGTATCTCTGGTTTGGGGACAACTTCCTGTCCTCTGGAGCCTGCTCTCCAGGCCAGAGGGAGCCCGAGTTGGGGTTAACCCCAGAATCAGGGCTTCCAGCTTCTCTGGCTCTGGGGAAGGGGACAAGGAGATCCAACTGGCTATGGCTCTGACTCAGAGACACCTTCTTCTCCTCCACTGCCTCCAGGGCTGTGCCAGGTACCCAGCGACCTCGTTGGGGGCTACACTCCTGGCTTCCCAGGAGCCCATTCTCTGGGAGCCGGGACAGGGCTACAGCATTGGCACAGGGGGGAAGGGGGCTTTGGCGAGGAAGCAGAAGCGACCCCACTGCTAGGGTCAGGGGGCTGGCACCATCGTGATTGAGGGCAGGAGAGGACTGGGACCATGGGGACACGCCCAGCTTGCCTAGATTGGACCTGTAGGGCCCTAGCAGGGAGCCATGGTTCGGGTCTGACAGCTGGTGCTGCGGGGAGGGCTGGCCACTGGCCTCGCGGTGGGCAGGGCCGAGGGATGAGGACCCCATACGCATGTCACTGCAGCCACCACCTCCCGGCGGAGCGAGGTAAGAGGAGTGGCCCATGAGAGGTGAGCGTTTGATGCTGCTGAAGCTGGAGCTGGAGGGTGAGGAGGATGTGGGGCTTGGCACACGGGGCCTGAAGCCCAGGGCCGCTGGCGGGGGCCACAGTGCCCTGGGAGATACGGGATCCTCGCCGCCGCGGAAGCCCTCCACAGGCTGAGACTCCGCATACAGACAGCGGAACTCCTGGTCAAAGTCTTCCACGATGCGGCCTCTCAGCTGCAGCACCATGCTAGTGTGGGCCTGGCTGCAAAGCCAGGTGAAGCTGGGGGCAGAAGGTCAGGGTCAGAAGGCAAAGTGCAGGAGCCTGGGGCTAGGCAGGGGTCACAACCAGGGGGGCATATCAAGACAACTCCACCACCTTGAGGACCCAAATGAGGGGGGAGGGGTGCAGAGCTCTGACTTCAGAGTCTGTGCTAATCCAAGCTCAGCTTAGAGGACTTGGGCCCATGGTTTCCCATCTCAGGGCCTCAACCCGCCCGTCTGTAAAATGGACTGGGGGCAAGATTCCCTGAAGTCTCCAGTTCTGAGGGGCAATAGTCATTTTCTATGCCAAAGGCATTCAAGCAATCCTTCCACAGAATGAGCTCCTCCAGGGCCCAGCCTGGGGCTGTCTTGCTCCCCACACCATCCCCGGCGCCCTGCACAATGCCTGGCACGCGGTAGCTGCTCAGTCCACGCTGGAAGGGCCGGGTGGAGGGAGGCAGTTCAAGCTGCCAGATCCCCGGTGCCCTCACCAGCCGGTGGCACAGTCCCCAGCCCCTTTCTGCCCTGTTCCACATGCTCACCTGTAGCTGCCTGCCACCACCTGTTCGCAGTCGATGACAACAAACTTCTCCAGGGCCTCCCCCGCGAAGCGACGGCCTGCCTTGCTGCAGTATGTGTCCCCACACGTGCTCCGCACACGCATATTCTGGACCAAGGACAGAGGGGGGTTGGGTGGTGACCCTGAGAGAATGGGGCTCAAGCCCTATCCAAATCCCATGCAGTCTCGAACCTTAAACGCCTAAGGGAACTCAGTCGCCCACTCCCCTGGACCCCCAATGCTTACTGACCACCCCACTGACTCTCCTGCCCTCCCCAACTCCCTACTCCACCCCCTGGTTACTGCCCCTGTCCCCCACTGACCGGCAGGTGCCTCCCATTGAGGTCCATCTTGTAGCACATCTCCAGGAAGTGCCTGAGGTGCTCCTGAGCCAGAAGCAGGTAGACAGGGACACCACGCCGGCTCGAGGCCTCCATGAGGTCACACAGAAGCTCCATGTCAGTGAATACATCCATCACCACAGCCACCACCTGGGGGATATAGGGGAATCTCAGCCCTGCCCAGAACGTTGCCCAGCCCAGGGCTAGGAGTGGGGGTCCCAGGAAAAGAGAACTGGGCTTAATATCGGGAGGCCGGAGCCTGGGAGAACATTTGGACTGGAAGGGCTTTTAGCAACAACCTAGCTCAGGGGTTCTTAACTTAGACACAGGGAGGTTCCTCTGTCTTGAATGCCCAGAATATGTTTGAAAGTTTCTGTGTGCATATTTTTGAGGATAGAGTGTTTATCTGTCATGAGCTTCTCAAAGATATCTGTGGGGAGACTGAGGCTCAGAGTAGGGGAGTCAGAAGCAGAACCCAGACCCCGATTCCCAGTGCAGGCCCTCACTCTCCCACTAGCCCCAGGCCTAGCTCTGTTGGAGTTTCCCTCCTCAAGAATTAGAGCTGCAAGCCATGGTTATTGGGATCCTCAAGCCCTTTGCTAGACCTGCCTCAGTTTCCCTGTGAAGCTGCAGAGGTCTGGCGTGGTATCCTTTACCCACAGACTCCCTCAATTCCCTCACGCTGGGGGGACCAAGTTTTCTGCCCAGTTGTGGGGCTGGGGCGTGTGGTCTCCTCCTACAATGGACTGCCTCAGAGAAGCCCTGAAAAACCCCTTGCACCATCAAGCCCCCAGCTGCCCCTTCTTCCCATTGTGTATATGTGCTGGGAGACCAGGTCTTGTCGTCCAGGCTGAGAGGCAAGAGGTACAAGGCAAAGCGCCCCAGTGCTGGAACCAGACAGAATGGGGTTCGAATCTGCACTCTGCTACTTCCTAGTGATGCAGCCTTGGGCGAGTTGCTTTACCTCTGTGGGCCTCAATCTCCTCATCTGTTAAATGGGGACAATGATAGCTATATGTCATAGTTCTGGGGGTTAGATGTGAAAATGCTCCACACACGACAGGTGCTCAATAAATGTTCCCTTCCTCCTGCCTGCTCAGCAAACAAAGATGTGGCCCACAGGAAAAGGAAGCACTTCCCAAGGTCACTCTGAGAGTGAGTGGCAGCCCAGAGTAGAAGCATGGCTCCTGGCCCAGAGGGTGGGGATGGGGGGGGGTCTAGATGGGGGTAAGGAGGCAAAGTGCTGGGGGATGCCTCTTTGGCACAGGCCTGGCCAGAGGTGGGGGGAAGGTCAGGCAGGGAAGATCAAAGGGGCAGGAGTAACAACAGCAAAGCCACCTCACTAATAACCCCATTCCCAGTGCCAATCAGGCCTGGCCCTCCCCTGCCTGGGGCACGGACAGGTTTGCTAGGGAGGCTCTGGAGGTATCCGTGAGATCCCAGCATGCTGGCTCCTGATCTCTGCAGCAGGCACCCTCTGGGCCACTCCCCCAGACAAAGACAGAGTCTAACTCACCTCAAATCCTTCCTGGGGTCATCTGATCCATTCCCCTGCCTCCTGAGTCAGAGATCAGAGCTCAGGAGTGAAGCTATGTTAGCCTGTGGCTGGAGACTTCCCAGGTACCGACTACCTGTACCAGCTCTTCTGCTTCTCTTTCTCCCGAGCCCCTGCTCCCCATCCCTGAGCCCAGAAGCCTCCATTCCTCTTTCCTTTTGGTACAAAACTGAAAGCCCAGCCCTCCAATGCCATACTGAGGCCCAGGTACCAGTGCCCCTTCCCTGCTTCAGGCCCAGCTGGAGATGCAGTGGGTGAAGGGTGAGATGCAGCTGGGGATATGCACCAGGAGGCAGGGCCGAGCCTGGGCCCAGGGCCTGAGTCCGGACCCCTTTCTCTCCCCCTGAACTCTATTTCACCAACTGACTGGACCTCCCTGAGCAAGTTCCAGCCCCTCTCTGGCCTCAGTTTCCTCCTCTGTAGGTCAAGGCAGTAACTCAAATGTTCACCAAGGTTGGAATTCTTAGTTTGGGATCATAAACCTTTTTGAGAATCTGATGAAAGCCATGGAGCCTCTCCCAAGAAAGATGCAGAGGATCCCTCCCTGCAATATGCACAATTTTGTATGCATTTCCAGAACGTTTGTGGACTAATGTTCTTGAGTGCCAAGGGGTTACCACGGTAAATAAAACACAGAGGTTCTAGTCCCAATGCTGCCCCTAAGCTGCTGTATGGTCTTGGTTTGGTCCCTTTCCCTCCCTGGGTCTCAGTTTCCACATCTGTGAAATGAATGTCTGAAGAGATAAGGCCCTTACCGTGCGGGCCTGGCTGAAGAGAAAACGCAGAAGGTCCTTGATGTTCTTGGACTTGTCCCGCTGGAAGTGGACCACAGCCTGGGTGGGGCTGAAGCCCGTGGCCTGTGGAACCTCAGGCCAGCCCAAGTCCAGGTCCGGAGGGTCTATGTCAGAGGCCATGGGGAAGTAAGTGCCCGAGGTGACTTCAGAGAGCAGGCTGAGGCAGTCAGGCCCTGAGGCTTCCGGCCCCTGGGCCTCGCTGAGCTCAGGGCCCCCATGCACATGGCTGGTCATGTAGTCCATGTCCAGAGCGCTCAGGAAGGGCAGCTCCCTCTCCTCGGAGATGACCCGCAGGTAGGCAGCTTCGCCCCGCTCCAGGAGGGCGTCGGCTGCCAGCCGGGCAATCTCACTGTGCTGGAGCACCAGCGGTGAGGCCTCCCGCCAGCACGGCCGCTTCAGCTCCTCCACCCGGCCCCGCAGGGCTCCCGCCATGCCCTGGGCTCCCAAGTCCTCAGGCCCTAGGCTTCCGAACATGCCTGCCCACCTGGCTGCCCTCAGCCTCCAGCAGGCTCCATGGCCTGCACCCTGGGGCTGCACCCTTGCTCCCAACCAAGAGAACCACCGCCTGCCCGCCCGCCCTCTGTGTGCCAGGGCCCCCGACCTGTTGCCACCCTAAGTCAGAGCCATGCTCCGCCCCATTGCCCCCGGCCTCTAGAACTTGTCAGGTCAGCCTCACCTGTCTGCCTGCTGTTGAGACTCGCTCGCCCAGGGAAATGGTGGTGCCAGGCCCTTAGCACACACTCCTGCCCACCCCCACCCTGGCCCCACCCCAGCATCATCTGCCCCATCCCCATCAGGCTCCTAGCAAGTTTCCTCCAAACCCTGACCTTCCAGAGCCCCCAGGGAGGTTAGATTATGGTCCAGAGGGACTCAGGCCTGCTCAGGGACACACATGCACACACGCACACGCACACACACACATATGCACATACACACCAGGGTGGATAAATGACTCAAGACATGGAGATAAAGGCGTGAACACACAGGCAGACAGGCTGACACACGGACATAGAGTATAGGCTGACATAAGCAGACCACACATTTTGATCAAACTCATGTAAACAGGCCCAAATGCTAATTCAGAGACTAGCCATAACCCCAAAGCATGGTGGGTAACCCAAGCCTTGACACACCTGCACACAGGCCCTAAATAGGAACAGAACAGAATGTCACACAGAACTGTCAACGTCAACACCTGTCTGTCCCCCACCCGGGCCTCTCTGCTCCCATAATGGCTCTGCCACTCTCTACCTCCATAACTGTGACATTCGCAGTCCCCTGTCCAACCCCACTCTGGTTCTGAGCCCATCCTCCAAGGATCTAGAGTAGTGACTTTCACCCTAGGCCCTGGGGATAGCTGGGAAATGTTAAAAGGCAGATGCCCAGGCTCCACCCATCTGAGATTCAAATCCAGAAAGTCTGAGTAAGTTTCTGGAGCTTGCTTTTTATACGCATCCCGGCGCCCCTGGGGCAGTGAGCCCAGGCCCACACCTGAGAAATGCTGTTGCCAGATGGCTATGTTTCCAACACCCTCCACTCCAGGGATGCTCTTGACCTGGTGTGGGCCACACCACAGCCTTCCTCCCCAGCTCAGAGGAGGAAGAAAGTTTTCAGAGGATGGAGGGCACCTTCAAGGTCAGGAGGCAAACAGAGCAGGCAGGTTTCTGTTCTCTGCCCCCAACAAAGGCCAGAATCCCAGAGTCCTCAGTAGCCTGAGTAAGAGGCTTTGCTCTGGAGAAGAGGCAGGGGCCTCCTCTGCGGGGCCAGGTGGACAAGAGATGGCAGTTAGTTAGGGAGACAGGCCAGGCAGACGTGGTCACCACAGGGCACAGTACCAGCTTGAGGTGTCCCCCTTCTAAGGAGGAACGAACTCTGATGAGGTGAGGATGGCCTGGAGAGCAGGAGACCAAACGCCGTGTCTCACAACCTTGTATAATACTGATTGCACTTGCTTTATCTGGTCTGTGATCATGTTCAGACCAGACACAGGTCCTATGTCCACAGAGCTTCACACAGGGCCTAACACATTCATGGGAGGGGGCAGAGGGATTTAGGGGTTCCCGTGTCGAGCTGGGCCCTGGGACCAAAGAGGAATGGGGCTGGAGCTTTGTCTTTAAGGAACCTAGAAGGGAGGAGCCCAGAGGTCAGGGTAAGGCCAGGAGGTGAAATGCTGGGCCATTCCATCACATTCTGGGGGCAGGAGCAGCAACTGGAGCACCAGGTGCTCTAAGGAGGTCCTTCCCTAGGGGAAAGGAGGCTGCGTGAGGGGCAGGAGGTTGAGTAAGCGAGCCAGACCGTGGGAGGGTAATGAGCTGTGGGGGTATCCAAGGAGGCAGGGCCTTCATTAGGGCCTTATCTCCAGATTTGTTTAGGGAAAGAACCAGGGCCTTATCTGGGTTGGAGAAGTGCTCCTGGGAGGGGAGGCAGCCTATTTCTGTGTTGCTGAGTTCCTGTGTTTATCCCTCAGTGTTTACACCATCTATCTGATGATACATATTTTTGGCTATCTTTTTAAAAATTATTTTTAATTGTGGCAAGATACATATAACATAAAGTTTACCATCTTAACTATTTTTAAGTATACAGTTCAGTAGCATTCAGTACATTCATATTGTTGTGCAACCATCACCACCATCCATCTCCAGAACTTTTTCATCTTCCCCAGTTGAAACTCTGTACCCTTAATTAAACACCAACTCCCCATTCCATCCTCTCCCCCAGCCTCTGGTAACCACCACTCTACTTTCTGACTCTATAAATAGGACCACTCTGAGCATCTCATCTAAGTGGAATCAAACAGTATTCGTCTTTTTGTGACTGGCATATTTCACTTAGCATAATGTCCTCCAGGTTCACCCATGTTGGAGCAGAAGTCAGAATTTCCTTCTTTTTCAAGGCTGAATAATATTCCATTGTGTGTATATACCACACTTTTTATCCATTCCCCCACTGATGGACACTTGGGTTGTTTCCACCTTTTGGCTATTGTGAATAATGCTGCTTAAACGTGGGTGTACAAATTTGGCTCTAGATTTTTGTATACTTCCTTCCATGCCCACATTTGTATTCGATTCTCTCTCTCTCTCTCTTTTTAAGATTTTATTTGAGAGAGAGCACGAGTGAGGGGAAGGGACAGAGAGAGAGAGGGACAAGCAGACTCCCCACTGAGCAGGGAGCCTGGCATGGGACATGGGCTCGATCCCAGGACCCTGAGATCACGACCTGAGCCGAAGGCAGACGCTTAACTGACTGAGCCACCCAGGCACCCCCCCTCCTTTTTTTTAAGTAAGCTCTACACCCAGTGTGGGACTTGAACTCACAACCCTGAGGTCAGGAGTCACATGTTCTACCAACTGAGCCAGCCAGGCACCCCTAGATTCTATTTTTGTAAGTAACAAAAAAACAAACGAACAAGAAAACACTGAATATTGATAATTTCATATGGCTCAACTCACCTACACATGCCCACGAATAACCATACCTGTGCATGTATGTACGTGTACCTACCATCTGTGATGTTTGTATGTCTGCTTGGCTGTCTTTATATAGTCGTATGTCAGTGTGTGTTTACCTGTGTACGCATGTGTGTATGTATCCTTGTGTGCATGTCTGGGTGCAGATCTATTTGTGTGCATGAGTGTCTGGGCAGCAGTGGGGGTCTTTGACCCTAAACTCTGGAGTGCGGTACTGGGTGTGTGCACAGGGAGCTCAACTGAGAGAGGCAGGGATGGGCAGACTGAATTGAAGTGAAAAGGGCCCCAAGGTGTCCCTGACATCCTGATCATGGAAGCGTGCAAATCAAATCAAATTCCCCAGATGGCAAGACTGGCCGTCCTTCCTCTGGGCTGAATGGGTAAAGGGCAATGGGAGGGGAGACAGGTGCATCCTGGCCTTGGGGCTGGGCCTCGGGGTGGAGACCCAGCACGATAGGAGCCTACAGACAGCAAAGCCCAGCCCCTGGCGGCAGTGTGTGTCACAGGCCCCTTAATAACTGTCATTAAAAGGACAAAAAATATTGTCATGTCCAGGAGATGCCTGGCATCATTCTGCCATCCTGGGGGCCATTTAGCCCTGTCTGTTGTCTCTTGTAAGCCATGTGGCGCCTGGACAGGTGATTGTCCTGTGGGGCTGGTAGGAGCAGAGGGTGGGCTGTAAGCGCCTCAGTTGCAGGCTGTTCCAATGTCGACACTGCTGGGTCGGGGGGCTAATATTCCTGGGACGAGCAGCCAGGGATAGAAGGAGAGCCAGGGTGCGCCCAGATCCCTTGAATCCAGATGAAGTGACGTGCGAGCTAGAGACACAGGAACACGCGGTGAGGGCTCCCCGAGCTGGATCTTAAAGGATGAGAAAGACTTGAAGATGTGCAGAATGACAAGCAGGGCATTCCCAGGAGGAGGACATGAGGGGCGAGGGCATGGCTGTGAAGGAAGATGGGGGCTGTGGCGCACGGGAAGAGCTGTGGGAAAGGCCATCGGAAGCCACCCTCGGAAGCAGGCCTTGCTAAGTTGCTGGCTCTCTGTACAGACAGTGGCGCAAGGTTGGCAAGATTCCTAGAGCTGTGTTTTAGGATAATTTACGAAGCAGCCCCCCAAGGGGAGAGTGGCCCGAAGCACCAGACTCCCAGAAACAACCCAGATGGGTGTGGTTCTGTGTTCTTGAGCACCACACAGGCCTTCAGGAGGCCCCACTGCCTCTGGCATTTAATGGGTAAATTGAACAATCACAACTCTGAGTCACAGTGGCTTAATCTGTAAAATGGGACCAACATCACCTCCTTCATCAGGTTTTTGGAAGGAATAAATGGGCTATTCTATGGCAAGTGCCTGAGAGGAGGAGGAGCTCAGTACATGCTAGATTCTAGAGCTTTCTCAGGCCGTGAAAGGGCGGGGGCTTGGTGGAGGCCTGAAGACAAATGCAGCCGCAACCAGAGGAGCTCCCTTCATCAGTCTCCACCCTTTCTAGGCCACAGGCTGGCTCTGAATGTGAACATGGCCCTCTGGCTGTGTCAGTGGAGTGTGGCTCAGAGATTTGGGCTCTTATTCCAGCTCATAGGAGGCAAGGTCCTCTCCTCACTCTCCACACACAGATGAGCATTCTGGCAGGCAGATCACAGGAATGAGAATCTGGGCATTCTATCTTGGAAGGGTGGCTGTGTCTGGGGTCTAGACTGCACACACTGGGATGATGGGGTCTCCCTTCCCTCAACCCCCCTCTACCCATTCATCCACCTCATCCCATCCGATGGGGGGGGGGGGCGGGGAAGACAGACTTGCCCTCACTGGCATTTCCACTCTACTTTCCCAGAGGGGGAGGTGGGAGAGGACAGCCCCCTCTTTTCACTCACCCTTCCTCTCCAAGGGAGGGGGCTTGTCTGATTGGTGGCTTAGAAGGAGCTGGGCTGAATCTTTCAGCGCCCCCCCCCCACCCCCTTTTAGTTCTGTTGTAGGCAAAGATAGCATATTCCTCATTGATCTACATGGTAAACTTCCAGAGGAAGTTCTGCCCCTGTAGTGGGGAGGGAGAGGTCTGCTCTTTTGGGGGGGGGGGGTGGAGGTGAGCATGGTTAGTTTAAGGAGGTTATTTTTTTTCTTAAAGAGTTAGGGACCCCTGGGTGGCTCAGTCGGTTAAGCATTTGCCTTCGGCTCAGGTCCTGGGATCGAGCCCATCGGACTCCCTGCTCAATGGGAAGCCTGCTTCTCCCTCTGCCTGCCACT